TATTTTAAAACTTTTGAAATTTAAATGGTAATATACCAGTCTTGTTTCATCGGTCATTATGTACAGACGTCTGTTTTTATGCGTCCCGTTATCGGTATATTCAAAAGTCGCTTAGGATCATGTCGCAATGTGTACTGAACAGTACGGGTACGCCAATACTGGCAAGTAAGCGTCACCACCTCACTTCACCTAATAATAATAATTAATATAATAATATATATTAATATAATAATTAATTTCCGTGTTGGATTTGTTAAAACCCTCTATACAGTCCTTCAAAATACCGAACATTATTTGGTACTTCGAACCGGATCTGCAAATCTTAAGTGATTGAGACTAGTACAGAGCAGATTTAAATTAATATAAGTTGGAGACATATGTATATTAATTCTTCTCGTTTATTTACAGCTTTCTTTGATATTATAAAGTGATTGTCTCAATTTTGTTTGTTTAGCATTGAAAGAAAATGATTTATTAAGTTAAATTATACAAATTTATTCAAATGATTCTAAATAATTAGTTTATTTGTCACTGTTTGTGAGTTATAATTATTTTAATTGTTACCGTTTAGTTTTAATAATAAGTATTGCGCCGTTCGGTTTTTCATTAAGTCGGACTTTGGACCGTCAAGAGTTGTATTGGTTTTAAACGTTTGAGTTTAATATTCACCGGCTGTACTTATCCCGTCCCGCTTGGGAAACGTGCATCCGCATAAACTTTATTACAAAATAATTCGAATAAAATGGGTGTATTTGAAGAAGCTAAGGTGGTCATCGCAAGTTTGCAAAGTCGAGTGAAACGAGTGTACGAGGCGGGTGATGCACTCGAAAAAGAACCTACAAAGAAAATGGCAAAAAGTAAATATTTTAAAATTATGTACGCGACGATTGAAAACTTGTTGAATGATTTTGAAACCCAGCTGGCAACTATTATAGGTACGCCACCAATGCAAAACTAGTATAGAGGCCGAAGAAAGATTAAATACAGAAAAGATACGAGCTGATAATAAATAAATAACATTCGGTCCATTTTTTTTATACTATATGAAAAATCTATTCTTTACTACTTGCTCGGAAACAAATGTCTATAGCATAACCGTCATTCGTTCACATATCTTACCAGTAGACTACCTGTACGTCACCTAAACTCCTTTTTGCGGTATGAAGTATGATTACAGTATAACGATAATATTATCACAATATCATTATCTTTTTTTTGTTATTTAGTATCTGTATTCAGTACATAACAAGACGACACATGTATAAACGACTTTATTTTAAATAAATAATAATTAAATATAAATGTGCTACACATATTTATTATTTTGTGTTGCCGGTCGACACAGCATACTAATCAATCGCGTAGGTAATTATTAATTTAAACGTATTGGTACCTACCTACATTATTATTATTGGTCTATTGCTCATCTGATTTTTATTTAATAAACTGTTCTAATATTGTTACATAAGATGACAGACAAAATTCTGTGTTTTTTTACACTTTCACCTACTTATAACTTTACGGAAACGTATACCTACGAATGTTGTTCTTCTCAATTCTCATACACAGTGCATAACTTTATGGTTCCAGTATGCATCAGTTATTATTTCCTGCATTTATAACGATTTATTTCCCAGTGAATTTCTATGGGCTACAAAATCAATTAAGGCACGGTGAGCTATTCAAAATATTTGCAACTAGAACGCTAAAAATATTCACCATCGGTAGGTATAACTATACTATAGGTACTGTCTAGTGATATCATATACTACTACATACATTAATATAATACACTAACACCTAATGGTGTACATCACTTAGAGTACATGGAAAAAATTCCTGATAAAAGCATCTAGTAACTACCGTTACCGAATAATAATTAAAATATAGAATTAACGGTAAAGTCTCACACGAGGGCCTATAGGTATACAAATGAGTCGTATATTTATCACAAAATAAATCAATCCTTCAGTAGGTATTTAAAAAAATATTTTTATAGTGTGAAGTGGGTAAAGGTAATATTTTTAAATCATTCGAAAAATCATTATGACATTATATATCCAAAAAAAAAAAAAACTGATTGTTAGTACGGAAAAGTTATTAACGTTATAAACCTTGGGCTGCAAAACAAAATACAACAAACTACTAATATTTATTTCCTAAAAATGTGTAGGTACATAACTAAAATTAAATTGAAACATTTCTAGATATTAAAATAATGGAACAAAAATTACAATGTGTTCGGATTAAAAGCCAAATCACATGGTAGTTAAAAAATATTTTAAACAAATATATACATAAAAATAAAATATTAAAACATTCAATTTGAATTATTACTAAAACTACATTCTACAGGAATATTAATTAATTATAAGAAAAATTAAAAATTGTATACATTAGTTTAAGAACGTGACAAAACATAAATTATTTTTATCATTAAATTGTATATTTTTGAAATCCGTATCAGTAAACTGCTTTAGTTTATACATGTAATTTATTACAACTAAAATAGTTTTACTAAGATTTGATTGTTCTAATTTACTGTCCAAGCAGTCTCATCCTGAAAAATTCCTTGTTAGTTGTGCTGCGGTGTTTACAAAATTATATCATTTCTGTACTTAAAAAGCACCAAAAGTCACGGTGTTGACACTGTGTATGTGAGCGCTTAGAGATTAAAAAATGACAAAAAAGGTTAGATTGATGTTGATTAATAATTGAATGTCTTATTAAATCATATAAAATGTTACTAATATGGTTTTTTCATCAACCATTAAAATTTAAAAAGAAATATTTGATATAAAATTTACAAATAATAGTGAAGCACCAAGATTTAGTTTAATTTTATATATCATCATAATATTTCCGTTATGCATATAAGGTGCAGAATTTGGGTAAGATAATAAAATTTTGATTAACTAAAAGCTTGACATTTGAACTATTATAGTAAAAAATTATAATCAAATATAAAATATAATAATCTTTTAGTTTATATGAAGAGCTACATAACAACGTTCACAAAACATCAAATCTACGTTAAAAAAGAAAGTAATCAACTTTACACATGGAGCGACATTCAAGTACAAAAAACTACTATGTTTTAACATTTAATAATAGTGCTAAACATTTTTTTTTTATGAGGTAATACTACTCGACACCAAGTTTTGAGTTTAATTAACGCTGATTATATCCTTATTCAAAGATTCCAAATTTCCAAGTAGAAATAAATATTAATTATTATATATCTTCACCTAAAACAAAATAAATATAATAATTATTAACTTACAAATTTTAATTTCTATAAGATACCTAATCTAAAACAATATTACTATATTTTCTTAAAAAAATACTAGATAATAATTTAATCAGTTCAAAATAGTATATAAATTATATAAATCTGTATATATATATATATAGATTTATGAAATATGCATTACCTCTATTTGAAACATAACTAAATAATCATAAATGTCATAATGATCTTGACAAACGACTACTTCTATAGTAAGTCACAAAATGCACATTAGAATTTCAATGCATTAGGTACCTTAACAGTATTCTTCATAAAAAAAAATCTCTATAAATTAAAATTATTGTGATATTTGATAAATTTTAATTACTATCATTCCGGCGATTTGTCGTCAATATCTATGCCATATTAATTGCCATTATCATTACCATCAACAATGATTAGTTATTACTTCCAAACCAGGGTAATATATTATAATGTTTATGGGATATGGATGTAAATTTTCCAAATCTTCAGTAGCCGGGCCATAAGATGACAAATATCAAAAATATGTTTACAACATTTTCACTTTTACTAATAAGAACAAGGTTTTATTTATGAAATCATTACGTTTATTAGTTTTTATCATACATTTATGAGCAATATAAAATACTGGGAATTTACACACAACTAGGGAATTTATAAACACAATTGACAATAAGTCAATGTATTTACAAAACGGCATGGGAATTATTTTACTCAGCCCTGGCAGACTAAATCTCGGACAACGCCGGGTCGGGACAGCTTGTATATTATAAAAAAAAAAGTAAAGAGTATTATTATTATCTGGTTGTCGGTTTTATCGACGGACGACGGGGTCAATAATATTATTTAATAGCGTTATAAATATGCTACCTGTGTTGAAATCCCAAATGAATATGGATCAAAATTTCAAATCTTTACAACCTAATGAGTAGGGAACTAATTGATGAAAATTAGAAATTCAAACGTTAATATGTTTATAAAATTGTTGTCTACCGATTTATGAAATTAAAACCATACGTTCCCATTTATAAAACCAAATGCGATACTTGTTTTACGTAAGGATGTAAGATAAAAATATTTTAAATATTGAAAAATGTAGAAAAATATGTACCTACAAGTATAGGAAAACAATAATTTTCAAAATATTCACATTTTCCGAGTGTCTTACGTTAGTTGGACACTCTGTATATTATAATAGGTGTAAATAAAATACAGCTCACAAGAAATCCTGCACAATAATTTCTATTTAGTTTCATCAAACATAAATTCTTGCTTAATATTTTCATATAATTTGAGTGAATTTAAAACTATTATATTATTATTTTTTTGTAGGTAAGTATTTATATAACGCTATTATTTCAGAATCCAAGATAAAATAATAGTTAAAATTAAGTTCTTGTACAAATAAGCTAATGCAAACAGTTCACTGCCAGGCTAGCGATTACTTGGAAAAAAAAGAAAAAAATGTTTAACAGCTTATTATATTGGTTAATTCATATAGACCTGTGACCTTCCCCGCGCCGATATACTCCGTCCCTAATGTACTGGCTTTTTTTAAGTCCGATCATTATCGATTTGTAAATATTATCAAAACATTTCTGGTACAATGGTACTTTGTGTTTTTATTCTTTAATACCAAATTAAGTACACAGAATTTAAAATAATATAATTTGTTATAAAATTAGGCTTTCATTTGTTGTTGCTGAAAATCAAAAACATCAGGTTAAAATCATTCGGATAAACCAATGTTTCTTATAACCACCGCGGCACAGTTGATGAAAATTAAAATATAAGCCAAATTTATGAGACTTTCGGTAGCGAGAGCTTCTCTCGTTTTGACTTTTTTCTCTTTTAGCTGACCGAGTGACCGATCGATCTTTTTAACATTTACATTGTTCTCGTCGTTGAGTTTGACGGGCTCCGGCAGTTTATTGTGTAATCCTTGGACGAGTTTATTCATTTTATCTCTTCTACCTTTCATCCGTTCCGACACTTGGTGGCATTTGGCAACTTTGCCGTTCACCGTTGCTACGCGCTTGTCTGCCGAACGTCTCTCGTCTGCTAAAATCCACTCCAGTTCGTGTTGGCGTCGTTTTGCGTCGGCCATTTGTAGTTGCAAATCGAATTTGTCTTTTAATATTGTCAGTTCGGATTTCCACTTCGAATGTATCTGTTCTAACCTGCGCTCGGTCCGTTCAATTTCCTCGGGTTGATGTTCCAAACAAGCGTTTTGTTCGTCGCTGGCGGTCTTAATCGCATCATTGTCGGCCAGTTTATTGCACAAACTGTTTTCTCGGCATTGTAATTTTTCTTCCAAACGTTCGTTTTGTCGCTGCAGTTGTTTCGTCTTGTCTTGGAGTTTTGCGTTCTTTTCCTTCAGCTCTAAGATTTTTGTTTGGCTAGTCTCCAATTCGCACTGGTTCCTATCCAAATCGCTTTTCGTGCTCTGATATATGCTCCATACCTCTTCAAGACCGTCGGTCAACCGAGAGAACATAGCTTTCTGTTTATTTATTTCGTTTTTCATCCACGCAGACAGGTCAGCCAACTGGTTTTTCAACTGTTCTTTCTCTTCCTCCACCTCATCGTACAGCGACAACTTTGCTTCCAGTTGTCTAATGTAGTATTTTAAATCTCCCACACTGGTCGTCGTTTCTTCAGATCCATTTTTACTCTGTAACAAACTACTTTTGGTAAATACCCGATTGTCATTTTCTACTTTCTTTATAAATAATTACTTACATTACTCGACGAGGTCATTTTGTTAAAAGAGATTATTTTGGGCGACGAATTTTGTTTTGTTATTAAACATTTATTAATAATAGTTTGATTATTTTTATTTGTATAATACAATAAAGAACATTTTCATAGTGACAGTATATTTAGCCAATGAATATTAATGCCACATCTTCTGTCGGACCTTGCGCTGTATTTCACTAACGCTGTCTACAATATAGGTCTGATTAATGTGTCCATTTGAATTCCTTCATCGAACCCGCTTATAAGTTGTATAGGCGTTGCTAAATTTAACCAATTTCAATTTTTTAATTAAGAATAATTAGCTGAACATTTTGACAGGTCGATAAGTTTAAAATTTAAGATGAAAGGTGGAGTGTGGTTAGACCGTACGCTGTATTTAATAATACTACACTCCACTCCCCCTCCCGTCCTAAAATTTAAACATTAATAACTTCATAATTAGTGAGCAGATTTTTAGGTTTTAAAAAAATCAAAATATTTTTTCAATATTCCATTAAAAATCTGTGGAATATGATAAAAAATGCCCAATCTACCACAATATGATCTAATATTCAAAATAATATTTTTTAAACAAATTTTATGATCAATAAATTATTGTCCACACATTTTTTTTGAGCACCGTATAGTTGCTTAAAGTTAAGTATGTAGAAATTTATAAACACCCAAGAATCCTCTCTCTATACATAAATTTATGTCACAAAAATATAAAAAATGTTCTATTATTCAATTGAAAAACTAATATCACAATATTGACAAAAAAAAATTTATATATAATTGCCTTTTACTTTTTGAAAGATAACAAACTCAAATTAGAAAAGTTTTATATTAAATTAGTTAATATATATAATAAAATACCACTTAAAAACTTGCCTAATGCTCATCGATTTGATGTTGCAAATAATAATATCCATATATCATTTTGTTGTAATGGTTTAGACCAGCTATATTAATTTAATATAGCTTTATTATGTGTAGACCTGTGAGCCTTCAGGCATTTGAAGTATGTGTTTGTCATAATAATATAAAATTGTAACTTTTATGTTTTGAAAAGATGAACACGGTTATAAATTATCTACAAAATTTAAATCACTGTGCTTATATATGTATAATGGAATTCATATATGTTATGTTTACAATCTCCAAGGCGTATTTGTAAACTCCCCCAAGGCAGGGGTTGACCGCGACCAACAACCTTGCATTCACCATACTATAAGACGCCGATCTCCAATTATCCGGACAACCACCGATTGGATGACTTTTTGCAAAATTACGGATAAGGTCAACTGCTATCAGGCCACATGTACAGAAAGCATACCACCAGATCCGCGTTCGCCAATATATAAGACAGTCAATTCGCACTAGAGATTAGAACAACCAACCGGTCACAATTTGTATAAAATGTTCTACTTATTATCAAATGTAAATAGTAACATACATATTTTAAACAATTACATTTGTTTAAATATGCATAATATAAATATGTGTCTTTATTTATTAATTTATTTTTGTGTCTGTACCCACAATATCTTTTAAGTCACTGAATAAATTTCTTCGTGTTACAACTCGATAGATCAGAAATCGTAGGTATCTGTAATGTACTTTATTGGACCAAACATTTAAAAAGTTTATCTTTTCCCTTTTAAAATGGAGAAAAAGCCAACAAAATTACATATTTTTCAATTTAAAATTACTACGCTCCATAACTTTTGTTAGCTGTTGTGTAGCTCTTTAAACTCTATCAGAAAATGGAATACAGCTTTTTCGTAAAAATGGACTTATTTCCTTTTTCCCAACCGTCCATATTAATTATATAAATTAGATTTTAATTGCATTTAATGACGAGCCCTAGACTAATGTTATTCACCTAACCTACTATACTTGTTTTTCCCTCTAAATTATATTTCTATTTTTTTTTAACACATTTTAAAAGTTTTCTAAATTTTTTTTAGGGAACAGGTTTAATACATCTAACTTTTGACGATCTTAATAAAAAACGATATGTATTTTGCATTTTACCGATGACGATTTTACAAATCCATCAACAAAACACTTTAAAAAAAATGCTGTGCCTAAAAAGTACGAGGAACCAGAACGACATCTAGTATCAACACCAACTAAAACATACAAGTATCATAATTTGTTTCCCAAGAGCCCTGAAACTCCAAAATTTTAAAAAAAGACAAATTCTGGATGAGACTTTACATTTACAAACACCAACTAAAAAAATTAGATTATATCTCCATGTTCACTGCTTGAGCTTACACCTGAAACCAATGACTTACTTGTCTCAACGCGAAATTTCCCTATCCAAAAAAAAATTCTCCGGAAAAACGTGCGTCGCCTTCGAAACGTTCTTTGTTTAAAACTGTAGACAAACTAAAAAACACGATTAAAACCCAATGAAGACTTACAAATAAACGGGGATCAATTTCAAAAGTTCGTAGTAATCTTTTAACTTCCAAATTAAAATATAAAAACGACGACATTTTAAACTCTTCAAATTAACCATCAAAAGAATCCAAAACATTAATTAAAATTTAAGTTTCCAGAAAAAACAGAACTACAAAAAACAAATGGGCTATAAACGAAAAAATTCTGGCTTTGAGCATTTATTAAAAATCTCCATCAACATACAAATTTTACGTAATTAAAAAAATATTAATCTATCTGCTGAGTCTTCAATTAAGCGATGGATTGGCAATTCAAAGTTTATAACGGGTTTTAACCCAGATGTCTTCAGACAACTTATAATGAAAGCTGAATCAATGGACGAACAAGAACGTTATTGTACCCTTGTTTTTGACGAAATGAAAAAAAAAAAATTTCTTAGAATACTCTAAATACCTTGATTTGGTCGAAGGCTATGAAGACTTGGGTCCATTGGGAAGATCAAATAAACTAGCTGGCCAAGCAATGACGTTTTTAATTCGTGGTTTATATGCTTCGTGGAAGTTGCCATTTTCATATTTTTTTATACTATATCTGTAAAACATACAGATTTAAGTACTCTACTCATAGATGCCATTGAAAAGTTATTGGACTGTGGACTGTGGATCTCTAGTTGCTGCGATGGTATGTAACCAGGGTAAAAATATTGTTGCTGTTCTTGTTAAAGACTTAAAAATAACAAAAGAGACACCGTTTATCGAAGTCAAGGGCAAACAAATTTATTCTATGACCAAACAACTGCAATCTAATACTGCTTTAAATATTCAGGAAATAGTTAAAGAGTTAAATAACTTATTAAACGTTTTAAATAGTAAAACACTATTTCAAAAAAATCCAGTTAAATGTGCAATATCTCAAAAGCGTCCCCAACAACTGGAATTTTTACTTAAAACAAAATCTTGGCTCAAAAATTTAAAAAAAGTGTAAACCAAAAGTAGAAAAGAAGAGAGATTTCCGTGCTTTGATGCACCATAAATTCTATCGAAATGCTGTATAATCAACAAAAAAGATTAGGATATAATTACCTTCTAACGAACCGATTAACATCTGATGTCGTTAAAAATACTTTTTCGGGTTTCCAGCTTTTCTTTATAGAACTGAAATTGGACCATCCTTTGTAGTCGACATTTTGTCTGGCTTTTTAGTCTTAAATGACCCAACATAGCTTATACTCATAGAAACAATTATTTGTATTAATTATAATATCTTGAAGCTTACACAAAATAACCGGTAAATTAATTGACATGGTCGAAATTTATTTAAACCTTCTTTTTATTTAATATTGCCTATACAAAACTCCTTAAAATCATGCCTCATGAAATCCCCTTAAACCATTATTGTTTTTCAAATTTTTAACTAACTAAAAAAATTAAAAACAAATTCAAGATTTTATAAATTTTATTAAACTTTTATAACAACAATTCTACACATTTTTTTAATAATGTAAAAGTGAGCGATTTTTTTCATATTTTAGTGCAAGAATTATAATGATATTTGTAGTGTGATTCATTTTTTTAGTTTTCGAAATGATATATTAAGAATTTTCTTATTAAATATGGTTTACAGTACCTACATAGGCACTTCAAGTTTTGCACAATGTACACGGTTTAATTTTGAAAATGGATTAAAGTTTTAAGCTAATTTAAGTGATTACGCGATGCGATTGAGATTCAATTTCAAATAAAAACTTTTGAAACGGATAATGGTCACATAATTTTATTAAGAAAAATTGAACATTACATTAAAAAAAAAAGGGATAATCATAATTACGACTAAAAAAATATGAGTGGTCAAGGTCATCACCAATCGAGTTCTGTAGCATTAACCACCGCTACGAGTAATTCGTTTAGTGTGGTCGTCATCGTCCCACAGCAAGCTGGTGGTCTCACCTAAACTAGGAAAGATATATACTAGGTATATAAAATATTCTGTAATGCTTTTTTAAATTGTGATACATATTGATTCAAATTATGCATCATGTTTTGAAGTTTTAATACTAAATTATACTCTAGATTTTTTTGATGATTAATTCGCCTGTTTGCTTAGTTTTCATTATTTTTATCTAGATTTAAAAATTAATCATAACTGAAGAGTTTAATATTTAATTAAATGTATAACTCAGATTTGTAAAATACATCTGTACAAAATTGGGTTCTTCCCCAGAAATAGGTACTAAGGAACCAGCTAAATGGTAAATCAATCCTCGTATTTTAAAGGTAGTGTTGAAATCAGTTTTACTACTAATCTGTGGCTCCAAAAGATGTCATAGAGAACCCTGCATTATATTGACAAATATTCTTGAGAAATTTTTTAGAATCATCTCCATTACTACTAAGTAATTTATCGTGTGGAGATGGATGTGACAATATCTTAACCAGTGCTACAGTACCACTACGACAACCCATGCCTTTAAATTCACCAACAGTAGAATAAAATAGTAAGGTGAAATTAAAAATTGATTTCACCTGAATATTTAAGTGCATCACAACTACGACATCTACGAATAGTATAGAATACTAAATGACGTATTTCCAATATTCATATATAGCTGTGGGCTATCTTTTTGTATTTAATCAACGATAGTGAAAAACATGAGGATTATTATTTTTATTTGATGGTCAAACCGGTCTGAGAGAACCTACATAAAAGCTTTGTTTACATTTTTCGAATTTTTCCGAGTGCACTATCTGGGTTTATCTAATCTGTGACCTAACCCAAAATTTAAATATGTATCATGGAAAAGTAACGCAGCATTTTTACTTTCCATGAAATTGGTACAAAAATGGCTGCTTCCCAGGTCCGGGACATTATTCAATTTGAATACGCTAACCATATATGTTAAGTTCAGTAAATGAAGCATACTCGTACTGTTCGACAGGCCCCCAGCCATAAGACATGTCATTCATGTCAACATTAAAACAAACGTTGTCACGGTAAATTTTTATTCGTTATCACGGTGCCGTTTTCTATATAGTCGGTGGATTCCCAGCCATCGTGATCCAGATCGTTTCACGACCTTCGGGTTTCGACCGTCTACGCATGACCACGTCGTACAAGCCGTGGCCGCACGTGCCCAGCCTGACCGAACCAGGCAAATACCTTTCCGACCGACCAAGGCAACAGCGGCCGGGTTGTTTGTCGGACTTAAAGTCCGGGGGCTGGTCGCTTATCATAATCGAACATTCCGGCACTCCCCGGCGTATTAGCTCGTGCTGCATTTTCCGTGCCTGGTCCACCGGTAAAACGATCACGTAGGCCAAATCCAGCGACGTGTCCAGGCCATCGATAATTTTCATTTTTCCAATCGGTAAATATCTCGGTCAGTAATAGCTTTCCTTTAGTCGCCTGAGCATTTTAATTCGCTTCTAATTTTTCAATTAAAAAATATTTTAAATAATGTTTTTCGAATGTAACCATAGTCACTGAAACGTACGAGGTATAGCAAAACGACAAAATGAATAAGACGAGCATCCAAAACATTCATCGCCAATAGTGTGCCTGATGACGATTTATATCTACTTTTGTAATATTTATTCGAGAAAAAGGCTCTGAACACAGTAGCAATAGTAGACGGAAGTAAAAAATACGGATCCGATTCCTGGACTGGATTCGAACCCTAGCCTGACTCTTAGTGGTCTCTTGTTTCGACCACTGAGTGACTGCGTGACCATAATTCAGAACCATTTTCAAAGCCATTTAATGTAATTGATAATAACATTGCTTTTTTTGTTCTAATAAAAGAAAGAAAAGATGTAAACACAAAATTTCCTATCAACCGTGTGTCCCAAGACTCACACAGTATTTCAAAATTTTAATTAAACAACCAAATCCGCGGCATCTAAGGCTATTGGCGGCACATTTCATTATGTGATATTTAGTATTTACAAAATATACGTACATACAGAATAGTTTAAATATTCCATTTGAAATGTTTAAAACTGTTGAATACAAAAAAAATGACTATATTTGTTTGTCTAAACAAAGTGTTTTCGTAATGTACGATTGATTTAAACCGGGACCTAGTGAAATGTTCAAAGGCATCTGGAGTGATGTGAGGTTTTCTTCATATTTTCTACATTCAGAATAAACGTTTAACTGATAGGCATACCAAAAGTTTCATATGAGGGAGAATCTTCACGTGTCTTCGAGTTATTGTTATTACGGTCGGATCAAGTTGAAATTTGTTTAGAACATTAATTAGGCGTATCTGTTTATTAATCTGTACTTGGTTTGGTTTTGACTGTGTTGACTTACACTGTGCTTGGTTTTTTCGTGAACTTGTACTTGCTGACAGCATAACGAAAAACATTTGTATAGCTCTTCTTTCAGCATAATATTTCTCAAAATACAAGTATAATATAATGTACGTTATTCAAATGTTAGTATTTCAATATCGTTAAAGTGGTTTCAAAATGTATTTGTATAACCATAATAACATTTTCAAAATATATATATGTTATTTATTCAAATGGATGATTGTAAAATCTTTTACTAAGAAGAACATAGTCTAACCTCTGTGTCGAAATAATGCGTGTAGTGTGTACACCGTAAATCATATTGTAAAAAGAAATGAGCCTGCTGTGTACATAAATGAGTAGGTATAGTTACACTGCAAAAACCTATTAGATTCTGTTTTTTCGGTTTGAATATAAGCCTATCCAAGAGTCATAAAAAGCAAATTTAGATTCAAAAGCTGATCAAGACGATTATTGTCTAAGAAATTCTATCAGCACAACAATTTTAGTAAGTATTTCAATGCAACTCAAAATTGTAATTACGCAAAACTAAAAAGGTATGAGCTTAACGAATTATAAGTTCTAAGAAAAAAATAGTAAATAATATTTTGTACTGCTAGTTATTTTTGTATCCGGTCTTGATAGAGGTAATCAACAACGTTTTTTCGAGCGAACGGATTTCATATTTTTTTTTAACAAAACATACAAAAACTGCGTTTTACACAATCCACAATTTTTGAAAGAATTCTATAATTGATTTTTAATTTATTCTCTATGTGGCTTGATGTATACTGTAGAGTGTAGTGAAAAAGGCAAGTTTTGAAATCGTTTCTATAATATCTTAAAAAATTAGTCTTGGGAATAAAAAATATTTTAAAAATATTTCGTCAAAAAAGCTATATTCAGCAAAATGATACAAATTATCATCAAAACTCAAAAAAATTAAATTTAAAAAAATATAATTTTATAGGAAACTAAATTCTGCATAATATACTTGTACAATTTTTTTTTATAATTGCCAAAAATAAAATTAAAACATGCAAAAACAAGTTTTATAATATTTTTTTTTTCATATTTGATTTTGGTGTATAATAAACTAGTTTCTACACTGAAGAAAAAGTCATTTTTCAAAAAAAACTGTATCATTCACTTTCAAATTTTAATCAAAGATATAAAAACTTGTTTTTAATTTTGGAATTTTATTATTGGAAAAATATTACAAAAAAATAAATACTAAAAGTCCTAGATAAGTTAATTTTATTTTTAGAGTAGCTATTGAAACTTGATTTTTTGAATTGGGGCTGGGAAAATAATTTTTTTTTTACTTTAGGTTCGTGTACACTAAGATGCTATTTTCTGAAGTATTTTAAAAAAAAGTTTTGAAAATTGCCTTTTTTCAATACCTAGACCCTAGTGTACTATTTGAAAAGATATTTTAATACTTTTTATAACAGTAAAATAACATTATTACTAAGGAGATTTTTTTAACGAATGCATATTTAAATTGGCATCTTTTCCTCTAAAATGTTATCCTCTTTCCACTATAAAACCATGAAAAGTTTTGCTTTAAATCCATCATAGGTTGATTAAGAAGCATTATGAGCAGATAGTGGAGTTTAGACTTGATTTTGAAAATAACGTGTATAATGTCGCTTTTTAAAATCTAACTTTAAGATAGATTCAATAACAATATTTAATTGATTACCGTTTTCTATTTTTTTAATTTGCAACCTAACTTTTTACACATTGCCATTTTAATAGTTAACAGAGAATAATTTCTTATTTTTGAATTTCTTAATTAGGGTGAACCAACTACAATTTTGGCCAAATTAAGTACCATTCAAGTTCGATTTCCAAAATCCTATAAAAAAAAATCAGTTTAGTGGTCTAGGAAATATTGTTGTTTAGTAAAAAGATGTATATACATATGTACATATATATTTAAAACAGGCTTGCAAACCTTCTCATCTCGGCACCGGGAGGCAACTTTTTAAATAAAAATTGATTTTATGTGTATTATTATTTGCAGATAAAAATGAAACTTTTCTATTTTTATATAACACTTATTCTTGTAAATGTTTCGGCAGATGACGATGAAGGTAATTATTCTATTTTCACAATTTCACCAACTTAAGGTGGTTATTAATCTGGATTTGAATTCAATATTTCACTTTTTTTACAGCGACATATACGAAACATGTTTTTCTTACAAGTCAGTAATATTTTTGTTTATCAAAAAATAGTTTTTAAAATTCATGGTTTTTATACATATTTTTAAATTGTGCTTTACAGATGCAGCCATCGAGCTTGCGTATAATAAGAATGATTTAAATGTAGGAGATAATTCTGAAGCAAGTAAGATATGTTTAAAATTAATATATCAATAAGTGTTTTGTTACGTGTACCTAATTGTCAAGTTCTTTGTAAATTAAAATGTACAATTTCTATAAATAGTAAAGAAAAGTGCACCAGGTAAGTATAGATTTCTAATAATCCAATCAAAGGAGTAGCGTTAAGCGTGGCTACTGCTAAACATAGTTTAATATTATTCTAAAGATTGTTATGGTACCTAATTTGATGTTATTTCAATATTTTAGTATAGCCCAAATCTTTATATGCTAATTTTAGATGGATTGGAGCATGTAATTGAAAAAATGGTTAATAATACTCCATCATTTCACAATGAAGATTTCTACCTGTGTTTCGGTAATCATAATAATAGTAATAATAAAATAATAAAGATAAAAGTAGAAGAAAATATTAGAAAGTTATATAAAAATTGTAAATGTAAATATTAGGTTTTTCTACGAAATCTAAATGGAATTTTGATGAAAAACTACTACTGTTAGCTTTGTCGATCTCGTCTAGTTATTATATTTTTTTCTCATCGATCCATCTACGTCGTATAACAATTAAACTTACATTAATGATGAGGAAATTTCTAACTTTCTTGCTCATTATTTTTCTAGTGTGTTTAAGCAACCAACTTCCCAACAATATAAACTAGACAATTTTAATTCACTCACTATTGATTTTAATGCGTGTGAACTTAAGTGATATCTATAAAGAATTGGATTGTTTGAATGTAAAAACATGTGCTGGCCCAAATAAAATATCAACTATATTTTTTACAAATTGTAAATTTGTTCTAGCTATTCCATTACTAGTTTTTTTTGATAAGTCTTTATCATCAGGTATCTTTCCAGACCAATGGAAGGTTAGTTATGTATCACTAATTTCCAAAGGCAATGATATTAGTCAAATAACAAACTATCGTCCAATTTCAATAATCTCAAAAATTCCAAAAATGTTCGAAAGTATTGTGTCTAACAAAAAATTACTCCATTATTTAAAAACATTATTGTCGACGAACAACATGGCTTTATATCTGGTAAATCTACATCCACTAATCTTCTAGTATTCCAAAAATAATATCTTGGATGCATTTAAATCTGGACAACCAGGTTGACGTTGTGTTTACGGATTTTTCAAAAGCGTTTGACACAATTGACCATAATATTCTTGCTGTTAAATTAAATTGTCTAGGTTTTCCAAACCCTTTCTTTTCATGGTTAATCTTTTTTATATCTAATAGGAAGCAAATTGTTAAATATAAATTTGTTTGTTTAAGTTATTTCAAAGTGATCTCCTTGGTTTTCCTCAGGGATCCCACATTGCGCCACTCTTATTTAATTTATTCATAAATTACATCAAATTTTTCAATTCACAAATGTTATTGTTTGCGGATGATCTTAAGTTTTTTCGTATAATTTAAACTTCTGATGATGCCGATAAACTTCAAAATGACTTAAATCATCTCGTTGTTCGGTGCGACTATAATAAATTTTATCTAAATATTTCTAAATGTAAAATAATGACTTTCACGAAAAAGCGTTTCCCATATATTCGGAATTATTATTTATGCGATCTGGAACTCATTCGTGACTACCAGAATAGGGATTGAGGTATACTTTTCGAAAAATCTTTATCATTTAATGCTCATTGTGCACACGTGCAAAGCAAGGCGTCATCTATGTTAGGTTTTATAAACAGAAGTTGTGAAGACTTTAAAAATCCAACCGAACTTTTAAAATCTTTATATTGCGCATATGTAAGATAAATTTTTGATTACTACTCTATGATGTGGTCACCAAGCACCGTAGGTCTAATACAATCAATAGAGTCGATTCAAAATCGGTTTTTGAGAGTAGTATATTTTAGATGTGATACAACTTCACTCCTTTTACAAGCCTCTGACTTTTTTAAACCTTGAAACATTGGAAACAAGACGAAAACGGCTAGATCTCTGCTTCATTTTTAAACTATATTTATTATCCAATTTTACTTTCAAATTTAAAATTCTTTGTTCCTAGTCGTAGTACTAGGCAGTCAAAAACTCTTTATCTGCCATTTCAATCAACAAACTATAATATAAATGCTCCTTTGATTAGATGTATGAAATTAGTAAATAAGTATAATATCGATCTGACACTATGTGTAACTATTGGTGGATTTAATGTGTATTTGTATCGTTTAATTTTTTTAACTAAAGATCTGTATTTTAACAATTGTATACTATAATAATTTTCATTATAATTGGGTTACCCGCCCGTCTAAATAAATAAATAAATCTGCTTTAGGTTAACCATTGTATTTTTATAAAGATTCCCTAGTCAATTTAATATAGTTTTTTTCTACTTTGACTGTCGTCTTGCAATTATTTATAATACTATATAATGTAATAAATTATAATAACAAATCAATTCTAATAATATTAATTTAAAAATTTCAGCCAAAATTAATTTTATGATCGCTTTACCAGGTAATAGTTTTTGTTGAACTTTATGAAAATATTTCCAATATTTGATTCCTATTGAATTTTCCAAAATATATTCCTGTCGTATTGTATATTCAGTAGAGCACACTTCTCGCGATTTACTAATACACATGTTTCTTTCCAACATGGGCTTCAACTTCTTGCAATTATAATAAAAAAAATTAAATGCAATATCATAAATGTATGTAATGTCAATTTCAGACCAAACGGATATTGTATTCGAAATACCGGGTAATCATTTGCGTTGCACATTATGGAAGTGTTTCCGCGCAGTTGTTTTAAATTCTACACGAGTTTTTTGTTTTAATTTCAGAAATGCCACACCTTGGCCCATTGCAAAGTAACCACATTCGTGTAGTTCATATTTAATATATTGAACGCGTATTCATTATTTATAAATACTTTAAGAATAATCGTAACTACCTATTCTAAATTTTAGAATGCGGTTATTACCAACATATTATGCAACAAGAAATAAGAAATACATTAACATTAGGTAATTATAAAACTTTAAAAATACATATTTGTAGTTCTAAAGAAAAACTATAAGAAGCTTAAAGTCAACAAGCTATGTATATGCTTTGTATATGTTTTACGCTTAAGCGTTTGATGATCATTCGAATTAGAATATTAACCGTTTACTCAAATTTAACATTTATACAATAACGTTTTGCATAGATATTTGGTCTAAGTTATCTTAGTTTTGGAGAGTGTTGTCATACATACAGAACAAAAAATGCACAAACCTGGTTTTATTAACTGCATAATGATTTGACGTTCGATGTATTTGTTACAGACATTGATATTCCTGAGGCTGATGAAGTTCAAGGTAATTACGAATTGTTCGATAGTCGTGAATAGCCTTTAAAGCTTGTTTTAGAGTTTAAATCCGAGGGAGGTATAACTACACCCTGAATATCTTGGCTCTTCCTCAACCTAAAGTTGAAATCCATATTATTGTGTTATACGTTTTTTTGTATTTCAATTATAGAAAGCATACATTCGTATAGTATATCACTAATGATTGGTTGTACGAAACATTAGTAATATCACATTTTTTTGAAATTTAATGCAACTATTATGTATTATAAGCAAATTAAATATTTTTGTTTTTATTATTTTTACACGACACGGTCATTTATTAATTTTTGCAGATTTTGGAAGCTTAGATTTGACAACACTTGCAGAACAAAGAAGAGGTCATGTTAAGCAAGCTTTAAAAAATATATTCAGACGTGTATTTGGTAAGTATTAATATGGAGTTGTATGGATTTTTAACCATTAATATATTACTATAAATAACTTACTATAATCATTAACTACATAAAAATTTTAAATTTAACGTATTTGTTACATAAATTCCCGAAGCTGATGATATCAAAGGTAATTACGAAATTTTCGATAATCGTAAATAGCATTTAAATCTTGTTTTATATCTTATTTTGATCGGTTGTACAAAAATTTAGTTATATCACAATCGTTTAAAATGTATTGTAATAATTTTGTACTATTAGTTACTAAAGTATTTTTTATTTTAATTATTTATTCGCAACACGGTCATTTAATACTTCCCGCAGATTTTAGAAGCTTAAACTTGACCGCCCTTGCAGAAGGGAGGAGAGTTACAGGAACATCTTTAGAAAATATAATCAGACGACGTGTATCAGGTAAATATTAAACTTTTGAAGTAGTATGGATTTTAGAGTGACTGTTGTATAACATAAAATATATACACTGATTTTGCTCAACCGCATAATGATTTGATGTACCTACTTGTTAGTTGTTGAAGACCGAAGAATTTTTCTATGGTAGGAAATATATTTTAAAGCTTGTTTTAGAGTTTAAATTTGCTTCATTTTATTTATACTACAATTTACAGAGAAGTAACTAGTTTGATAATTTTAGAAAATTAAAAAAAAACGTTTTTTTTTTAAATTTTTTAGACGGGTCTGTATTATCACATAAACATATTGTCTCATTATTACGGATGTGTCGTATGATAGCATTATACATGAGTATAAAATTTCCAACGTCATACACAAAAGACCTTCTGATTGATTTCATTGGTAGAACTTGTAAACTAGGTGATGGAATTACAGAAAAAATATACAAAAAAATTGATGGTTTATGGTGGCAAATAGGCCGAGATAACGGTACAGTACAACTACTCGAGGAGCAGTTGATATAATTTAAAACCAGAATCAACGGTATAACTCTTTTAAAATTTATAATGCTATTGTTATTTTATTGTTATAATATTTTCATATTGCACTAATAGCTGTCAATTAGTTCAATGTATTTCATAATAAACAGTTTTACTCAAGATTATAATCACACTTGTTGTTTATGTGTAGATTTAAACAGATACCTACTTCATACTTTTTACCGTATTATACAGAATATAATTCGAAACGTTTTGGAAAATAAAAGTTAAATATTAATTAAACTTAACCATAATGTCGCGAACACATTCAATACGAATAAAATTATGTAAAAGAACACTAATTTTATACTACATAATTCATCTACTTTCAGTAATTTTATTCAAGTATTTAAGTAAAAAAAAAAAAACATAAAATATTACGTCTATCGAAGATATTCTTAAACAATGGTGTGCTTCGCACATATTTAATATTTACTAAAAGCTACACGTACTGCAGTAGTAAAATAAACGAGTTAGAAATTATTTAAATTATACTTTGAATAAATACATTTGTTTGTGTAACCAAACGTCGCCTTACAAAAACACTTGTTGTTGACGAAAGAATTCGCGTCTGTTGTCACCGATAATGTTAGTTGGACAACTCTTGATTTACATTCGTTAAAAAATATAAAGTTTGAATCACCATTTTGCTATACTTCTATCATATTTTTGTAAATCGGATATTATATTATTTCATTTTCAAACTAATAAGCGGTAATGTATACCATAAACACTTAAATAAATAATATTTTATTTTATTATAATTAGTGATACTATGCTGTAATAGGGTCACTAGCGTTTGGTATAATGTGTATACGTACATATATTTAAAAAAAAAATATTTCAGAAAATCTATTCTATCATAGTTAATATTGTTTATGATTAATTCTATTGGAGAAGAAGTAGTCCTATCGACGACAAATCAGTTGATCTAGATTTCAAACTATCCCATAAAGAAAAATTTCTATTCCCCGAACCTTCTCAACATAAGTTGCGCTTAGATTTCTCCTTAAATTCTTCTATAAAAAAAATTATTAGCTAAAAGTGATAATCTTCTACAAAGCTCTTCTAAACTTTTCAAACTACTTTTGATAAACTAAGTGAAACCTTCAGTTTTCTAGGGCAATTTAGTAATAATGTTTTAAAGTCAGAGCAACCTGAATATCTTTTCTCTGATTTTAATCAAGCAGGCCCATCCGAAACATACTACTGTAAAACATTACCTCAATCATCGTACATGACTATTGGGCAGGCACTTTGAGTGATTCCCGTATTCCTTGTGATTTTGCATTATTAAATATTGATCCGACGCAAATGAGCAACTTTATAATCGTGCCCAAGTGACGATGTACTCGTAGATGAAACTCAATGTTATCAGCTTTAGGGAAAAATGAATTTGCGATACATAATGTTGGATTAATAACTCTTAAAATTCGATTTGAGCTAAAAAAATCTCATCGTTTCAGGTAGTACGGCCTAGTAGGGGACGACTGTTCTGTTCTTTACGATGGCATATTAGGAGAGCTGCTTCTTGTTAATTAATTATCGTACATATGTATTACGATATATGGGTGACTATAGCAAACCATAATCATATCTACCGTAATACTAAAAATTGTTTTAAAGTACATAACTGCCATTAGGTACAATGATTTTATTGATGTTTGTATTTTTATCCGTGAACACTGGACTTTTTACTTACTTACTAATGATGATGGCCGGTCAAAAAAAGGCAAAAGGTTAAGAATTACATCCGGGGGTTGCAGTGTAAACTGTTATAGCTACCTACTATAATTGGCCAATACGACAAAAGTCACCACTGCGCCCGAAGATAAATCCAGTCTTTCTAAGTACCTCTTTAGAATCAGAGATAAGAACAAGACCCAGAATTCACAAATAGTTTTAGTATTTTTATTACATCAAAATCGGTTTATACATACATGCATTACACTTAAACACATAAGTACATTTCTTAAGGCTATTTTGTTGCTTTGCATTGGCACATATACTACTAAGACTCGAGAGTATAAGTATTAGGATCTTCAATAAGAATTTTTAAAATCAAATAATGAAAAATTTTTCTGCAATCAATTTATATTATTGTTTTATTTTCAGTGCTATTGTTGAATTGCCATGTATAACGTACTATTTTTAATGGTGGTAAGTGATTTAATAATATTTTTTGCGTTATTATTTTTTTTTTTTAATAAACCCTTTATTATATAAAGAGCAAATATTTATAATTTCCAATAAATACGTTTGAAAGTATATTTTTGAGAAAGTTATACTAAATATTATGCACTAAAATTTATAATATATTTTATTTAAAAATATAATTCATAAGTTAAAATTATTTCATCTATGAACTAATACTTAAATGTAGGTCAGATTCGGAGCTAAATAGATATTGTTTTTACAATAAAAAAGTGTTTGGCCGAACAACGATATTTTAAAAACAGAGTTCATTAAGTATTAAGTTGATAGATTAGTCACACTTGGAAGCAGTTTATTTCCTGACCCCAATGTACTGTTTCAAATGGCTGTTTTAAATGATTGTTTATTTGCCATAAGACAATTTTTTTGATCTAAAAATAATTATAGACATTTTTTAAATTCGAAATAATTCCGTTTTGCGGAATCCCACTTTGATAACTTTAATCATGTTGATTTTAGCATTACAGTTTTATTATTACAATTATTAAATATTTGTTTAAATTTATATATTGAAATCTTACATTTTTGTTTAAACTTGCTCTAGGTAACTTGTATTTACATAAATACAAATATTATATTCAATATATTTAATATTAATATTATTTCTGTTAATGTTATTGTATAGATACTGCTACAACTCGTCAAATGTACATTCCCCACTTATCAAGTAGTACACAAAGAAGCAAAGAAAAACTTCATTGAGTGTTTAGAGGAATTAAATTTTATAGAAGGGATATTTGCAAACCATTTTAAAGGTAACCTACATGCAGTTAACATGATGATATCTAAATTGGATTTCAGAGTTAACCGTAGAATAAGATTCAATAACCTTTGGCGTGATTGGCCGTTTAAAAGTTTACGACCAAAATCAGATACCTTTAGTGCGAAGTAGAGAATTAAACGTGTTTCTCATAATGCTTTAAAATGCAAATTAAACTTTTATGTTGTCTCAAAAATATACGTAGAGTTCGAATTTTATATCATATGATATGAATAAAATAAAAATATGCTGATTACTAACGGATAAAACATAATTGAATTTGTAAAATTAAATTTGATGGAAGGGATATTTGCAAAACGTTGTAAAGGTAACCTGCATGCAGTTGATATGATATCTAAATTGGATTTCAGAGTTAATCGTAAAACTAGATTCAAAACCCTTTTGCGTGATTTGCCGTTTAAAAGTTTACTACCCGTGTTTCTCATAATGCTTAAGAACGCAAAACGTATGTTTGTCTCAAAAATATATGTACTATGTAGTGTTCCAATTTCATATCATATGATATGGATATAAAAAATTATGCTGATTACTAACGGTTAAAACATAATTGAATGTTATAGTTGTGCCATGGTGTAATCAAAATCCTGTATACGCAAAACTCAATAGTTTGGGAAGCCATTTAATGAGTAAAGGCAATAGAAATCAAGCTACTGGAAAAGTATTCAGTTTGGTCGATGTTGTTTGTAACAAATTAAACATTAAGCTCGTTGGTAGTAAAAAACATTGTAAAAATTTAACGAAAGTTTGCGTAGACCGATTTTGTACATCTATCTTGGCATTTTATAAACAAAAGACAAGGTACCAACTTACCTGATCACTATTCCTAAATTATATATACCACTATTCCTGGACAATTTCTGTTTTGATAAATTTATTATTATTATGATTCTCTTTATTGTTATTATTAATTACTATTTCTTTGATACTATTTTTAAATTTTTTTTATTTGATTGCTGAAATCAATTCAAGATGTGTAAGAGCTGTTGGGGAATTTTATTTAAAAGTTAAAAGTAAAAAAATACAACAAATATAAATGTTTACTAAATACTAAATGTGTCGTACAAAAAATGACTATATAAGGGATCGTATTGTAATGATCAAATTTTGATGCATTGCATATTATACGAGCCCCCCAGTCTAGTTTTAAGACCTTAAACTAATGATAAAATCATAACAGTTGTAGACTGTTTATAAACAGTTAATTTCCATTGTTGCTAATTATATATTTGGAATAGTCTTCTTTTATGTTTATTAATGTGTAAATATTATCGTTACCTATTGTTATTATTATTATTTTATAAATCCAGAATTTGTTATTGTTAGAATTATAATGGTTATCATTATTCATAAATTAAGAGTGAATTTGTCAAACGTTCCAAGTGCCAAAGTATAAAAATTGAACTTTATAATTTATTTTGTATTTTATTCATTACCGGACACACTATTCCTGACTTGAAAAATTTACAAAATTGTTTCCGGTAATGAATAAAATAAAAATAAAATGATAAAGTTTAATTTTTATACTTTGGCACTTAGAACGTTTGACAAATCTGAGCGCACGGCAGTGCGCCTGCCAAGTTCTAGCAATGCCAGTGTATTTTTACACGAACCAATTCACCCGGTATTTCTAACTCTCATATCTCTGCTACTTCTTAAGATAAGCTTTTGAAATTTGGAACATAGATTAAACTCATGTAGCTTAGGATATTGTAAAAATATGAGCCTTTAATATTCAGCCCTTCCAAATGGGAGGATTTCAAAATTTGCATTTTGGTTACTGACTGACTGACTCACTCACTCATCATTAAAATTATAAGACACTTCCAGTATAGGTAGAAACGTAAAATTTAGCACAAAGTTAAAATTTTCTCAAAATGTATGCGCTTGGTGGGGAATTATGACCTTCGCCGCGCTACAGCCAGTACAGGGCGCTGTTGATTCCCACGTCTCTAGTCAGCCATCATTTGGTCGTAGTTTGTGTCTTTGTTAATTCGTGTTCACATGTATGGCAGTGTAGTAATGTTCTTTGTTCTTGTTACGTTTGTCACGTGGTTTATTATAAAGTGTAATTGTACACCTAAACCTTTTCGTTTATACGTTTATAATACTAAACTAGATTTATAGTGGCTACTTGTATAAATTCTAGCTTCACTAATTTATTAATAAAATTACACTATATTAATTAAGAATAATTTAATTACTATCATGGTTTATTAATAATTAATCATTATGCAGGTGGCTACTTGTATACATTTTAGCTTCACTACAAAGTGTAGTTTTATGTACATATATACATATACATTATGTACATATCTACGTAGTTGATATAACAACACAAAAATCTACGACGTACAATATACATTCAATGCCTCTCAAAAAAAAACCTCGCCTACGATACTGAAGCCCGCAAAAAGGAATGATATCCCCAACAAAAACCTAACAGTGAAAAAAGGCCAAGTTCCAGACCCCCTTCCAAAAATGTCAACCTATCAAAGTAGTGATATCTACATTGTGGCCAAGTCTGCTATTTCTTTAGTTCATAACAATAATTCACTCCTACTTTCATGAGCAACACTGCTCTTTTATTTGTATTGCTTAACACTTGGCCAGTTTCTGAATTAAGCATGAAACATCATTATCAAAAGTACTCACCTAGGAGGTATGTGGGTGATGGGAAGAAGAGAACTCAGAAAAAAAGAAAAATATTCATATCCCCTCTCGAAAAAATCAACCAATCAAAGTAGTAGTATCTACATTGCGGACAAGTCTGTTTTATGCTTCATTCAGAAAAATCATATTTCATTCAGAAACTGGCCAAGTGTTAAGTAATACAAATAAAAGAGCTGTGTTGCTCATGAAAGTAGGAATGAAGTGTGGTTATGAACTAAAGAAATAGCAGACTTGGCCACAATGTAGATATCACTACTTTGATAGGCTGACATTTTTAGAAGGGGGTCTGGAACTTGGCCTTTTTTCACTGTTAGGTTTTTGTTTGGTGATTCACTATTCAAATAGAAAACAGTGCCCGTCACATCAAAAATGACCGTTTATGAAGCAGATTATAACAATGCTACAAATAATTTTTTTTGATTGTTTGGATGAAGAATTTTTTGTTTACGAAGTGATATTTTCAGACGGTTGTTTAGGTAACGTGCCCGCAGTTATTACTACGCTCAAAATGGTCTTAAAAGTTAAGGATGAAATATTATTATCAAAATAGTGTGAATGTTAATTATATCTTAAACATGTATTCCTTTACCGGGTAGAATTTGAAATGTGTTTCTTTAAGAATGCAAATAAAGTTCTTATAATAGTCTAAAACTATTAACCATTCAATTGTATGGATATATAAAAATACAATAACAAAATTGAATGTTTCAGTTTTGGTAATGAGCATCTTGTATCCAAAGAACTCGATAGTTTACCAAAATATATCTCTAAGGCGGACAATACAAGTCAAGTCACTGACAAATTTGGGCGAATTTGGTTAATGTTGTTTGTAATAAAGTAAATTTTGAACACGAAGGCTATAAAGAATAGTGTACAGCATTAACAAATAAATGAGCAGTCGGCTTTTGTGCAACTATTTCGGAATTGTATATAACAAGACATGATATTATCATGTCCACTTTTATGTTTCAATTAGATGATAATTTGATATATTGCTTTCTGTTACGTTTGTCGTTATTGTTGCTCCTACCGATGTATTTAATTATTATCACTGTTTAATGTATTACTGCTATATTTAAATAAAAATTAACACGACCTGTAAATGTTTTTACATCAATATATGTATAAAAAGTTTATACATGATATGTATTCAAAATATATCAATATATGACTTGTGCTGTTATTATGAGCTCTTGCTTTCTTTAACCTTATGTCTAAATAGTTTACTTTTTTTTAGTTAAACAAGCAATTAAATTTGAAACAATAATAAATTATGGAAGGAAATAGAAATTATCAAAGAGAATGAAATATGATGTGGGAGGGCCACGTTGGGCACCATTTACAATAATATTAATTAAAGGAAGGTAGAGAAAGGTAAAGATAGCGTCTTTGGTATGAATTATATGCGAGCGTATTGTTTAATAGCACCCTAAAAGTATTCTATCCTATTCTAATTCTATTATTACTACATTTTAGTATTATTGTGATATATCGTTTCCACGTATCTTGTTCTGGTCCAGCGATGATGAAGAAATTGTAGTTAGACGTTGAAGATAAAAATATAATTTAGTACTTTTCTGACAAATAAATAATGAAGAATATGTACTATTGTCTTTTTAAGGCGCCAATGTGTATACCAATATATATTTATACTTATGCAAACTAACTTTACTTAGTTATGATTGTATCGATCAGTTTATTAAATGTATATGTCTATTAGCTGGTACTGTCAAGGAAGTTAACGGCTTCGAGGTCCATAAGGTTCAGGACTGTTTAACCTGCTCGTCCAAGAACCTTATCTAATTTCTCTGTATGGATTCACCCAGCTACGACCGAAGTCGGCGATCACCAAATTTAGCCGCACTGTTCACTAGATCGTGTCTATTGGATACTTTAATAGAGAAAATTAACCTGTTTTATGATAACAATGCACACAATATATTTAGTTGAGATACAAGGCTACAGAGACTTCCAAGATAGGTCTACGCAAGGCTGCTTATGCTTCCAAAGTAACGCTAAGCAAGGCTGTCAAAACTTCCTTGATACCTACGGTAGAATTATTGCTATATGAGATGACCAGCCTGCAGTTGTGTAATATCTCCAATTATTTCATAAATATAAATGAATAATAATGAACAATAATAATATTCAAAAAACCATCTCCCTTTCCCATAAATTGGTCAAAAATAAAAATTGAAACAAACAGGGATCCAATTTTGTCTAGAGTTCTAAATGCAGCGAAAACCAATGAATGGAGTGACGATTTTTAATTAAATTCTAGATTAAAATCGTATACTCTACGCAAAGTTAAATTTATCTTACTTTTCACGTCCTCCTCATACCCTCCATTTTTTTGTGTACTACCGATCCTAAGTACTTGAACCTACAAACCTAAAATACTTCATTATTACCCATCTGCATTATTTGCCTTGCCTTTACATTTCTCCAAAATAAAAACGGAGGCAATCGTGTTTGATTTTGGAGAAATGTATAGGCCAAGACAGATACTGTAGATGGGTGATGATGAATGTGTGAGGTTATGATGTCTTTTATGGGGCTATCGTATAATAATACCTCATAAATTTCGAAATTCTATATGAACGGAATGTCATTCTTGCCATGTAGGCATGTCGAGTATGAAACGCTTAGCAAGGTCATAATTTTGGCGGCCATCGTTAGATAAAGAAATTGAAGAAATCGCACGCAAATGCAACGAATATTAAAATTCTTGACCAAATCCATCCAAAGCAATCATAACACTGTAGTAGAAGCGAGGAAAATAGTATTATTATTATTATTGTAGTACAATTATGAAACTAGGCAATATATCTTAGCCAAATAGCAAACGGTTAAAATGTTTATACAGCGAAAATTATATTTATTTAAAGCCGCACAGATTGTTATGTCAGAGGTACTCTTTGGGCTTGGCCCGGAAAATGGCCACTCTCTCGTATATAATCGTCTATACGAGGGGTGTATGTTCGCGTTTGATATCGTTTTGTACATTAACTTTGTTTTAACGAATATTTTATTTTGTTGTGTGTAAATCTTTTGAAGTTATAATTATTTAACTTTTAAACAGAATTACCTTCTTTCCTTTTTGGTGATTTGATTTAATTTTATCATTTTTATTTATTATAATTCCTTAGACCTCTCCGTCTCCTCTATGCTTTGATTCCATTATGCCTATACTCTATTATACTTTTCCTCTTGGATTAAATCACTCTAAATTTAACGCTTTGCTGCTTATTTGTAAATACAGCACCTCAATTTAATAATTTTTCACTTTGCTGGTTTACTCTGTGCTTGGTTTGTACTGTACTGGCTTAAAAATACTAACTACCTAATGATTTGCATCGAAGTGTTTATTCAAAGGGATTTTATCACTTTTAGATTTAAAAATTTCTGTAAACCTGTGACCTCCCCGTCCCCACTCGCAATGAAACTTTGGGAAGTTGTTGATTACACTCCCGCGAAGGTTTATGGCATAGTGCTTTTTGAAAATTCGATTCCTAAGGATGGCCTCAAACACGAATGTACTTCAAACACGAAATATTTTTCGTTACTAACCCAAAATAAACACTTGGTTTGTAACCTTGGTAACCACGGTACCCGAGCGAATGGTAGGTGATTAATTAAGGAACGGGCCGATTCTATGTACCACGATCGAAGATTATTCGGTCTGGCAAATTGATAATTAAAACAACTATTGTATAATCAATTTTGTCCCTGTGGTTAGGGGAGAAAGAATTCTACCAAGGTCCTCGCTGCTGTCGTAAAAGGCGACTAACGTGACGTAGAGCCCTCCGAAAAGTGGCCTTCTGACTGGTCACTTCATCTTGAGACACACCTTCTCCGGCCTGCAATTAGCACCTATTGCTACTAGTCGGTCCGCAGTCGTAGGGGATCCCTTCGGGGCAAACCACTAAAGCCAAGGAACATCAGTATAATCAATTCATGTTAATATAACTCACGAAGTAGCTGCCAATTTAAAGTTGCTTAAATTAAATTCAGTCAATCTGCAAAAAGTAGAGTTCTGTTCAAATAGACTTTATATCAACTGAGACTTAATAAAATCCATATTTAGTTAATTATGTTATGTTGATAAATTGGTTTTTGTTGAATAATAAAAATTGATAATGTAATCATCAAACTACATCATAAACGTTACTCTGCAATACAAGTTACAATCAGAATAAAAAACAACCTTTTTTTGTAGACGAGATTTAAAAATAATATTTAGTATCATTCTGCATAGATCTACATAAAATTGTTGTAATGATTCGATAATTTTTTTTTAAGATTTTAGGTGTTTTTGTTAAAATATACGAAATTTGCGGAAAAACTCAGTTTTCCGGCAATTAAAGAAAAACTGGAGTGCCGAATTTGTTTTCCGTTTAATATTTTATGGATACATACAAGTTCTGACTACTGACAAAATTTAAACTTGAAGGTTATAAAATTACGACTAAGAAACCCGAAAAAACAAAAAACCCTCCTCTAGGGGGTTGGGAAATGGGGATAATTTAAATTTGATACAACTGACGTGTGCGGGCATACCAAATAAATATTCCTTATAAGTTTCAACTCGACCAGACTTTTTCTTCGAAATTATAGCCAGTAAAAGTTCCATCTTAAGTATTCGTATATTTTTTTTCAAATTTTAACTATGAAGGAGTCAACTTTTTCATCTACCCCCCCCCCCCCAAAAAAAAGTACCAACTAAATGAAATTTGTGATTTATAGAGTTACTACTCGAAGGAATTGGTCCAGTATTAAAAATGTTACAGTGTATACAGACAAAAAAAAACCCCACATCGTGGGAGAACCAATACCTTCGCTGCACTGCATCGAAGCTAAAATTGTACTCTAATCTTTAAGCAAAGAGCACCAGACACTCGACTTTTTAGTAGATCGTCTCTGATCTGACAGATAGCTTTCTTTACACGATTAACTGTGCTGAAAACCGATAGTTTTTTAATTATTAGGTTAATTATTAGGACGTTTTCAGTTTATTTACTTGTCGAACTCTACCGGTTACTAAAACAATCATACAAAACACACGACCGGTGGATACTCATTTCATACAGATAGCTTTGTAAGAACCCATAAACAATTATTCTATCATACTATAATTGTTTAGATTTTCACGTCTGAAAATTACCTTAAGCTAGATATAGTATGGGACTATAATATTAAATACGGTTTTAATCTGATACCATATAAATAGTACCATAAAACAAAAAACGACAACCATATAAAATCATTTTTTATCACGAAATCATATACACGTATGTCTCTAATCGTGTGGCTCGCTTATAAACTAACATAGTAAGAGGTTAGTAAAATTGAGTTGAACCACCGATTGAGATCATCTGGTTCGGAAGTATAAATACCATTTGAAATTATAAATAGGAAATAAGAAAACAGGCGATCGTTACCTACCATAAGGATAGATTCTTCCACAACTCTGTAAGTTATAAGACAACTGCCTAGTATAATATTATAATAAACAATGTAAATAAACTAAAAAAAAATTGGTCACTAAATGAAAAAATCACATTTAAGAAAACGCTTCGATGGGAATCTGTGGATACTGAACAGAATCCACAGAGTAATATTTGTAAATTCTTACCACAAGTAATTTCTTACTGCGGTGGTTTATACTGTGCTCATTACTCTTTTGTTATACAGTTTAACATCTTATCGATAGGGGTTAAAATGACGATATTACTTTTTTGTTTTCAAAATGGTATTATAAGAGTTTATATTTTTACTTTTTTCATAGTTTTTCCTAATATATCTAACTAATTTTTTAATAGCTAAAGTAAATATCGGCCTATTAGCCTCCATAGAAAAAATAGTAACCTACATTGAAAAAAAAAATAATAAATTGAATTCCGTCCAATTGATACATCTGAAAATTACTTTTTATCAAACTTTCGCTAAAACTCAGAAAAATTATCTTTAAAAGTTTTAAAACTATACAAATCTTTATATTATTTTTCTTCCTTAAAATTAGGCAGCGTATTTAAAATAGGAACTAGATCAGTGTTTGTTAAAAATCTCTAATCCTTTGACCTTTAGTTAAATAGCCCTTTCCGTTTCTCTTAAACATTTAAGTACATATATTATATAAGTTTTAAACTATTTGTCATAGTTGATAATAAATATATTCGAGTTCGAATATGGATCATTTCTTTTTAGTTGGTAACATATTTTTAAACGACGTGGGTATGATATTTAATTTTTTTTTTTGTGTGTTTTTCGATGCCTTGGCTCTCTACAAACGAGTAGGTATGTTTTCTTGTATGAATTTAAGAAAAACTTTTTTTCTTTTTACACGTATTCTATCTAGTTGTTTGTGATTTTATACGTTTGAATTATTTTCTTGCACGGTAGTACTGTGTATTTACATGGGTTATAGCGAATACTTATTTTTTACACTCGTATTTTACTATGGTTGTTGTGTTTAGAATTATTTTATTTGTTATTTCTTCCCTGAGGACATGGGACTACATGAAATTAGTATTTAACGTATAGTTATTATAACATACAACTAGCATTTTTGTTTTAATTAAAATCCCTTGGTTGTATGTAAGCCAACGTTGTATAGGTATTACTATTTTTTACATTTTATTATTATACAGTAGTTTTCCCAATGGCTGACTAAATATCGCATTGGAAACAAAATACGAAAAACACTTGTTGGTTTCACGCGACCTATTAAGTTTGAGAACAGTAATATTTCACTAAAATAATGTATACCTACATTATATTATTTTTATTATTTAAATCGCTGTGGCGCATACTTAGCTGTACAATTCACAAACGATACATCACGATATTATATATATTTTTTTTTTCAATCGAGAACAAATCGTTTAATTTTATTATTAAGTCGTACTTAACTCATTTTCTTCGTCCACATGATTATGGCGTGTGTAGTCGATATAGACAATAACAAACTGTGTTGTTTGTTTTCAAAAGAACAACAATTTATATTTTTCACATCTTTATGCATCAGAAATGTTGAAAAAAAACCTCATTAGCCTTTATTAACAACGTCATAAGTGCAATATTATCATCATAGGTACGTTTTCAAGTTGATAGGTACCAGCTTTGAATATAAATAAATACAAATTACAATACAAAATAGTTATGCACATATGTTTGAATGGAAGCCATTAGAATATGATGGGAACAAAACAGGTTAAGAATGTTGGAAGATAGATTAAGACAATGAAAAAGAGGATGGGGAAAATCAGTATGGTGAGAAAATAAGAAAAATGGTGAATAACTGAATCTTAGACGGGCTAGAGAAGTGATATATTGTGGTGTAAGATTAAAACCGTAAATCAAGGCAAGGGGTACGGGGCTGATAAGACGGTTTTGTATAAAAAAACATCGGAAAGAAAAGAGGTCCAGTTGCCTCACTTGTAAACTAATTTTTTTTGGTATAGCTGAAGAATGTTCTAACAAGGGATGAAAAGTCTATGTGGATCAGGGAAAGAAACAGTTGATCTAGCAATGGATACAACTTCTTTTTAGTAATCTCAGAGTTCCCAATCATAACAAACTGCACTACTTTAACAGAACAAAAAATATGCGACAAACAAGATTTAATAATAAGGGAAGACATTTTAGAGCTAAATGCAGATGCAGATTTAGTTATTTACGGCTATAGGCACTACAAATTTAACACACTTGTTCTAAGTGAACCAATATAACATAGTGATATTGGGTAGGCTTATTCGTCAATTTGAAATTTGATTCATTACTTTGATGAACCAAAAATTTAAAAAGCTCAACCCTCCCCTTCAAATTTTTTGAATACCTACGAAATGTACATATTTTTCATCTTAAAATTAAGGCATGCTAAAACTTTTTAAAAAATAGATACATTGAACGTATAGACGTACATTGAAAAACAAAAAAACATTAAAACAAAACATTTTTCTTAGGAAAGGTGTAGGCTTTTTCAATATTTCTTATTTTTAGCAAGCTTTTAGAACTTAAGTCCCGAAAATTAGACTAGATTTTGTTTGGTGCTACAACATGTTTACAATTTTCTCAAAAATCTCTAATCAAACTTTTTTTTAATGAAAAGCCTTAAAAAAGAAAAAATGACACTTTCATAATAATCATAATACATTTCTAGGTTGCTATGATTAAATTGAACCAACAGTCAACTAATTACTGAAATATATATTTTCTTTTATTAAACCATGTATTATTACAATATGTATTAATATACATTAATACATGATGGCGCATAAAAATGTTGAAGCGTTTTAAATAAAACATTATACAAATTTAAAGAAAATGACACAAATTATTTCACAAACATTACTTATGATTCAATCATTACAACTATTCAATATGATCATAATAACATGTTCTATTTATACATCATCTAAATAAGTGACTTTAATAATTTTAAACTAAAAAGAAATGCAAATAAACCTTTTTGTTAAGTTAGAAAACTACAATAAGTAATAGAGTTACTTCTATTTTTTTATGGTTTCTACTTTTAAAGCAAAGACGAGCTTTTGAATACAACAGTTTTAAAGTGGTGCTTTATTGTATGTTAATGTGAAAACAATATTAAAAATATGTATTATGTTTAATAAATAATATGATTTATACTTAAGATAACATTAAAAAATAATACAATTTAACGTAGAGAGATTAGGGAAAAGAGTAGAACAATATTAGGTCCTATAAATATTAACGGGATAAGGTTGGTATATTCATGGTGACGAAGTAGGATATTTCTAGCCTATTGTAATATTTCTATGGGAAGATGTATGAACAAAAATTACAAATTATAAGTGCAATGTTAGATAAATAATTTGGCCATTATCCTTGATAATATATCATTTACCTTCTGCCAGAAAACTCAACACAAGCGCATAATTTAAAGGCATTAAATTAATTCTTAATAGATTAAAATTATTCCCAAATTCATGGAGAAATGGCTCTTTCATATCATCGCTAAACTCTTCGTTTGTGTCAATACTGATCCAGTCACTACCATTAGAATTACGCCCGTTTAACTCAACTAAAATGTCTTTGACTCTTACCGATATTCTAGATATTATACTGTCGAAATTTTTTAGATCTTCGTGCATTGCATAATGAAACGCTGCTATTACATCAGAAAAAAAAGTGTCGGTGTGTGGCATGAATTCTTGTACCATTTCGATTGCCTCTTTTGTCTTGTTATAAACGACGTCTATTCTGTTTACATCCATTTTAGGCATTTCTCTATTGAATATTACCAACATCACCCACAGATAGGCGTACATTCTCACAGCTATAATTTGGTTTACTAACTCGTGGTAACTAAGGTGTCCGAACGGTTTCGATATCCATTGGCCGTTTTCAATGTATTCCTTGGTTTTATTCACTTCGTCTACGTGCCGTCTTATCGTCGGCAACCATTCTACAATTAATCCTGTTATTTTCCCAAAAAATAATTTAAATTCAGTCCAAAACGGTTTTAAATAAAAATGGAAAATTTTTAAGAAATTCATACCGAAAGAATAATAATAACCTAGCACAGTCTTGTGCAAGTATTTAACTATATCTTTGGGTACATTGGGATTTTTCGATACCAAATCCGACTCCGTTATTTTCTTGGGAAGGTATTTTTCAACCTTGCAGTTTTTAATAAAACTTATAATACCGCTTTGTAATTCTTCTTCTTCCATTAGAGTCTCCCCAAAGAAATGTTTGTTACTTTCGTATTCAATAATTGCCAGGATTTTAAAAAAATAACTCCAAAACCATTTACCCGCCTTGACTTTGCCACTTTGAAACAACAGGACCATAATCCCGGCTTCTGCTTTTAAAACAGTTAATTTATCCATTGCAACTTCTAGAGCTCCTCCACTTCGCAATCCATCCAGAATATTCGTCAAGTACTCCAGTTTCGTTTTCACTATTAAAGAGAGAGTGCATATTATGTCTTGGACTTTCGTGTCGAATTTATCAAACACCTTATCGCGGCCTTTAGTATCGTTGTAAGTCTGAACGGGATTTGTCAGAATTGTAATTTCTTTTTCACAAAATTGTATTTCTCGCTCATTATAGGTTTTCAGAGTGTTCACGGTTTTAACGAATGAATGAGGGAATGTTCGACTGCTATAGTACGCCGGTGAAATCTATTAAAACATTATTTATAATTAATTAAATAAAATTATATATAAAGATGCATTATATCTATTTTGGTAATTTCCAGATTTTTATCACATCAAGGATAACCTTAAATTAGTACCCAAACTAAAAAATTGGAATGAATTAGGCCCCGATGTATTTTTTGAAGTACTTGAGTAGGGTACCGACGTATATATAACATAAAAAACTCGAGTAGGGTCCCAAAATAGTTTAATATAAAATTAATATCACAGAGTAATTTGGTGAAACTCTAGTTGAGTTTACAGGTTAAGTTGAGTCTTCAATGAAAATAAGTGTCTTACGATAAAAAATTGATCATTCTTTATAGAGATCTTCTAGTTAACTAAGATTTTTAAATCAATATTATCTGCACAGTGCACATCTTTCTTTGCCTAAACTTTTAAAAACGTATGTTTCGAGTATTACCTAATTAATCAATCATGTTACGAGAGCATATAATAACTAATGTTTAAAATATATTTCGGCATGATCCGAACATTGTTTGAGACATTACAACAATTTGATGTTAATAGTGAACAAAGTGAGCAAATATAGGTCCTTATAAAAATTAAGGATGTAAAAACGATGTCATGATTGTGATAACTAAAGAAAGCTTACTTGGTTTGTGGATTCAATCATCATAAAGTTGACTGGTAGTATGGAATGTAATAACAAAATAAAACAGTGGTGTGCGACCATTTTTGCTACACCAGTTAATACGTTAGAATTGAATACTAAAAATGTAGCTAAGTTATTCGAGTACAGGGAATAACGTTTTCTTGTGGTAATTTAATATTGTTTTAGACACTCAAAACATCTTTAGCTGATATTTTGGTTACCTAGTGTATTTGAAAAGGTACACTTGTCGTTAATATTACAAAAGGTTTAATTATAAAAAGTTTCGTTTATTTAGTTTTATATTGTATACTGAGAGCATATTAAAATTATAATTTATGTGCATATGGTTGTGAGTCGATTGGTGGGCTTAGATTTATGATGATTTTTATGTTTATAATTCTGTGTTTTTACTCTCCTCTAAATTTATATGTATATATACTTATATATAGAGAGAGACAGATCATTTTTCAATTAAAATATATTGGTCATTTGCTAATAAATTAATACGTTAATAATAATGCATAAAAAGTAAATGAAGTAACAAAATAACCGTATGTGTGTCATAGTACAAAATGAACTCCGTCTTCACTTTGAATTTTCTCTGGAAATAATAGTTCATTCTTTACGTTTTTTGGATCAAAATTGTATAAAAAGTGCGCGTGCAGACTGATGTCGGTTTTGAGTCAGTCTGCTCAATATTTTTTCGTTAAAGACTATTTTTTTTTTGTGTAAGAAGTTATTAGGTATATATATTTTAGTACATTTTTTCGTCGACCGAAATCCGTGGCGCATAACGACACAATTATTATCGCATTCCGTGCTGTTTTAATTAAGTTTCGCGCACATGTCAATAAAACGACTGTGGTGACGGTTTTTTCACTGAAAATTAATTACTCAAGGCGTAAGGTACTTATCAAGGTGCCTGTTGTCATTTCCATTTGGCATAAATCTCTCAATTGTGCCTATTTGAGTTTTTTTTTAGGCAAAAGGGTAATCTTCATCTGGATGTCTAGTATGCCACGCAAACTTAATACTCAAATTATACCGGAACATAGAGTTATGTCTAGTCATTCTGACAACAAAATTAAAGACTAGCTTTCTACGTTCTCAATTTCCAATGCAGACCTAATAGCTGTTTTGAAAACTTCAAAATAGATATACTAGCATCCAATAGACACTATCTGACCTACAAGCTACTCAGTATAAAGATCTAAAAACCGACTTGGCATCTGTTTGCACTCAAACGGCTAAGATGAGAGAAGAAAATGTTATGTTTCAAGGTGAAATTGACGTTCTAAAAGAGAAAGTGGCAAATTTAGAAAACTCCAGCATAGACGATGAGTTGCAACTGGTGGTTTCTCGAGTTATAGAGGAGATTTTCGAACGTGAACCTATAGTTCCTGAATCCACAGTGACTTTGGTTCTACAATGAATTACCCAAGACAGGTCGACTTTTATTAACATTCTAGAGCGTCTTGGTGACTTCATTCCTCACAATCAAAAACTAGTCCACCTCGGAAAAGCGTCCGATAACTCTGCACATCCTCTAAAGATCATATTTGATTGCTAAGAAACAGCGACTAATTATTAGCTTTATTCAACACGTCAAAACGTTTTGGCACTATCTTGAAATAAGGGTTTCAAATAGTAAGTGATAAGACTCCTCTACAGCACAACATGTTGCGCTCATGTTATGCTGAACTTGACCGATAATCAAAAAATTAAGAAGTTGGATTGCGGATTATATTTCAAAATGGCTTACCAAAAGTTGGATCCTCCATGTCAAAAAACGGGAATGTGCCACGACATCATAGACCCAATCATTTCTAGCTGCTGATAGACAACCTAGCTACAAGTCAACATCTAATACGTCTACTTTCTCAACTTCATACTTAGTGTCATCCTCGGGTTTGCATGATTATAATAATTTTAATACTAATTGCATTTTTTGTTTTAAAGCTAATTCTGGCTACAATGTATTTCTTTCTGAATTTAACAATTTTAAACCTAAACATGTCACTAGATTTCATTGTTTAAATTCTAAACAGGAACCTTCTACTTCAAATAATTGTCTAAAAATCTATTATCAAAATGTGCGTGGCCTTCGAACTATGATTTTTTATTTTAATTATAATTTATTATTATTTTAATAATGTTTTTGAGCTTACTGAAAATGGGCTTTCAGATGATATATCGAGTGCTGAATTTTTTTCCAGTAATTATTTAGTTTTTGGATTAAATAGAAATAAGAATAATAGTATTAAGTACGTGGAGGCGGGGTACTTATTGTCGTTAAAAAATCTTTCAGACCATTAATGTCTCTACCCTCAATGTGAAAATTTTGAACAAGTTTTTTTGAAATTTCTATTACCGAATCAGCTTAGTGTACTGATAGCTAGTGTTTATATATCACCATCGGCTAATGTTGAAATATATGAGAGCCCTGTTAATGAAATTGATACTATATGTTATTCTTGCGTCAATGATATAAGTATTTAAGTAAAATTGTATTGAAATACCATTTTAATTGCTCAAATTTATTTTTTTTTATTTTTTTGTTTTTGGTGTTATTTGCAAGTCATTCTTATAGGGCGCTTCCGTTAAAGTTGATGTTTCACCTCTCTTTCGTGAATTTATTTTTTCTGTTTGTTTCACTTTTAGAATTGGTGTTATATTTTCAGGTGATTAAATTGGAAATGTACTTGGTTAATTATGAAGCACCCAGGAATACTGTGGCTCATTCAGAACAACTGTAGCTTGTGCTTTTGTCGTTTTCGAGTTCAAATGTTGATCAGTTACTTTTTCATCTCCAGTATATTTTTCAGTTGACTCGGTACAATGTCAGTTACAATAGATGGCAAAAAATCATTATCACTAAAAAAATTTTTGTTCGGAGGCCATATTTTAAATGCTTCAAAACTCTTCATTGCCGTTTTCATTTTTGCAGCATGTATGAAAGCTGCGCAAAATAACAATGAAATATTTCCTAAAGTACCAACTTTGCCTGGATTACAACGGAGCCATTTCCTAACTTCATTTTTCATGTATGTGCATAATGGTTTCATGAAAAATACGTCACATAGTTTTATTTTATAAGATCAATGGGGTGCAAGCATAGTAAAATAACTCCATTTTTTTCTAGCAACATCAATAACGGGTAAAATGTTTAGAGTGTGACAAATGACCATGAAAAACGAATAGAACTGGATCTTCTTTTGTTGCACTCGAAAATTCAACAAATTTCATGAGCCATTTTAAAAACAGCTCAGAAGTAATCCTTCATGAAACAGCATGACATTCAACCCACGATCCAGGGGTAGTCAAAAAGATAAATGTGGTTGATTTCTTTTCTAGGGAAAATTAACATTGGAGGAACCTATGCACCATTTGCCGAAAAGCATATTACTGCTGTAACCGTTTTTTGCGTTCAGCGGATGTTAAAATGCCAACTTGTCTTTTTCCTTTAGTAGCTAATACTTTGACTGTCCTTTTGGCATTACTGCGGTACCAGTCTTATCGCAATTGCATATTCTATTCGCATTCAGCTTATCTTTACCAATGCACCTAGTTAATAAATAGAAGAACTGATTATAAGCTACTTTATTAAAACCCATAACACGGGCACCAGAAGTGGCTTTAGGTTTTCATAAGCTCAAATCTGGGTGTCCCAATAAAAAACTATTCATCCAGTCTTCATCAACCATTCCATCAGCCTTATTGAAACGGTGAGAGCAACTATTTCGTTCGGCAGGTTGGAAAGCCACTTTACGAAAATCTAATAAAGTTAAACTAAAAAGTCTTTTTTCCGTCGACTTCAAATAGCCCACTAGTTCTAGTCCTTGTTGTTCATTTAAAACATATTTAAATTTTCTGTTGATTTTATCAATCACGAAATCGACATTTTCTTTTTTACATACCGTCCAATGTCGTCTGGGAAGCTGTAAATTGCCGAGCAGCAATTTTTTAACCCATTTCTTTTTTTAGAACGACAGAAATGTCTTTGTCCATACTTTCAGTTGACCATTTTAGCCTATCCGTCTTTCGAACATAATGACATATCATTTTACTAAAAAAAGACCAATTTGATTTAAGAATAAAGCAATTGTTCACGCAGTGTCGGTTAGGTTAGATTAACTCGATCGTTACACCGCTGAGGTAACATGTTTTTCCCCCAACTTGTATTCCCAATTTAACCTAACCTAACCTAACCGCTTTGAGTCCGATGTGAGGTGTCATCACTCAGGTATGTGTTTTTGTGTTAAAAAATAAGATTTGTATTTGTTAGATCTAAGTTGGTTCAGTGTAACATCGTTATTCAATATCATATTCATTTGAAAACTTGTAAAATATTTCTTCTGTAAAACAGACAATTTTTGTGCAATTGGTTCCGACATGTTTTAGTGTCATATATTTCTTATAAAAAAAAAACCATATTAAATGCAAAAACAACGAACAGGGCAATTTTTATTTATTTTTAATACTAAAAGCAAATCCTAGTCATTAAACCTAAATAGTGACTCTACTGAACGCCGACAGCGGCAACAGCAATTATAACTTTAAATAATTTAAAAAGTACAAAAATTAAAATAAGGGGGCGGAATAGGGTGTGGCATCGTAATAGTATTTATTTAAAAAACTACATTTTGATTACAAAAATTCGTATATTCGATATTAAACAAGAACAACAATTTAACATTAGTGCGCTTTTCTGATATATATTTATAATAATATTTAGGTTATTGTATAATATTAAATTCCACTTATATGTAGTGAAAAATCGAATTAAGTTGTAGACAATTGACATGAAACAAAAATTTACCTAATTAATCAACGAAAAAATAGATGGGTTTTGATCGTGATAACATTATCTATGTTACATGGAGGTAAAACATGATTATTTTCGACGATACTGAGCGATGCGCAACGTTGAGTATGGAAAAAAAATTGTGACCCCATTGTTTTTAAAAACAGTATGAAAAAAAAAAAAATTCTTATTTATAAAACCCTATGATGTATTGAGTGGTTCGCGATAAAATAAACATCTGTATATATATATATATATATATATATATATATATATATATATGTTATAGCAAAAATTGTGGAAAAAGATATACTGGCTGGCCAACCCCACATTTGTATTTGATTCGCTCAATTACAATTTATATTAGAACAATTTAGGGTACCAAAATTAATACTACTTATTTTAAATTGAATGTTGATTTCAAATTGCTTCGCAACATATTATTGTGTGCTAAATTCTGAATTTCTAAAAAGTAAGACTCTAAGAACAATGAATTATTATAATTGTGCATTTGTACACACAATACTTCAAGGTATTTTATATACGAACGCGTTTACTGAAAATCCGAGTACATAGACCATTATTTATTATTTTTATGTTTATTATTATTATTCATGTGTTTATTCACACCGATACGAACTTAAGGTAAATAAGACTCAAAATAAAACACTACTACTAACTGTGTGTTGTATACACTCTTTTTCATTTATCACGGCAAATTTCATGTAAAAAAAAATGTATACTACAAAATAAAATCTTAAACTGTATCAGTGGATACCCAAATATGGCCTCTATTTAAATAGTTCCACACGATAGAAAATATTCGTTCTACTCGATAACGTTTTTCTAGATACAAAAAAAGAATATACCTAGTTTTATGTTTTTTTGTATATTTGTTATATCATGAAAATATATAGACTACACGATAACAAGTTTTGAATAAATATTTATAGATGTATTGGCATTTTGAGAAGTAGGCTGGAGGAAATGCTATAAAATTGTTGTTATCGATAAAAACGATTTAAGCATTAAATCTTCACCGAGTGAAATAGAATACATACCTAATTTAAAAAAATGCCTATTAAAAAATCAGTCAAAGTACTCTCGATAAACGTTGACAAGCGCTCTGCTATCATATCGAAGCGAAAATGAAATAGTTCACCCCATTTAGGGAAAGGGTTTATTATATTTTTTGCCTTGTCATATTATTTCGATAGTATAATATAAAGTAAAAAAAATTATCCTTACAATATTGGAACTAATTGGACTATTTTTAAAAATAGTTGTATTATGTGTAAATTTATGGGGATTTTTTTACTCGATTTTCTTGTCGAGGAAATCTTTGACTTTCCTGTCTGTTTGACTTTTACTTTTTCAAGTATTGAAAAACAATGGAAAATATTGCAAATTTATAATATATTCCATTTACACAAAAAAAAAAAAATGTTTTATAACCGTTTTGTGTATAAAATACTAACTTATTTTACAATTCTGTTGGTAACAAAAGTCAACACGCCGGGAAAGAAAAAAATATAATCGTAAAAACAAGACGCGGTCGTCCGCGGTAAAAAAAAAACACACCTTTGTAAACATTGGTGTTAAAAAATTGCACAAAACCGCATAAGAAACACGGTTTTGTATTGTCTAGCAAATTGTTTATAAATCTTATAGTGCATTATAGTACGCGTGAAAAACAATTATTTTACTGTTCATTCGTCGTTCAACTTCGGTTCCAAATAACCGTACAGCTATATTATTACAAAGTACTCGATTGAATTTTCATTTATTGTTTTAAAAACACTTCAAAGTATGCATTTCAAGAGCGCCCTTATTGTTTGCGCGGTGTCTTTTCTAACGTCGGCATGGGTAAGTGTATGATATTATCATTGATTAATATCATATACATTAAGTATACTTAATCAATGATATTAGACATAGGTCAAACCGCCAAATACGAACGAACGCTTCAATTTATTTTGGATTATTTTTTTTGCAATTATTTTGGCCATAGTCGTAAAAAGTATTTTTTAAATTTTTGTCTTCGCACCTTTTATTTATAACTTTTTTATAGTTGGTATATTCGGTCATAAAAAAAAAAAAATCAGTTTCTTATGTAAAATAATCACGGCTTTCTGAAAAAAATATTGATATATTTCGCGTATCAGAAAATTTGCACAAAGTTTGAAATTTTTTAAATATTTCTTTCAAAAAGCTGAGAAAATTTTATATTACATTTGGAAATTTCAAATTTGAATCTCAATAAAAACACTTAGGAAATTTAAAAAAAATGTTATATTATTATATTATGTATGTAAATCTGCCACGTCATCGGCTATAGATACACTGTACATGTTTACGAATACACTTAATAGGCCGTCATATTTTATTTCAGAGCGCCGGACTGGACAGGGAACAATTAGAATCGTTGGCTAAACTGTTTGAAGGTCCCAAAAACGGCAAGCACCTAGTTAACGAGAAGCAAATCGCACAATTCGTGCACGAATCCTTTGGAATGAACTATAATAATCATGACACATTTTATGAACACGAATCAAGTAACTTATTAATAAATAATTATATTACCTATCTTTCCGACAATTTAAGTCGAATGTCATGGCCGCTTACGCCGGGCAATTCGTTTAACGCTCTACACTAGTTTATTTTTTATGTAATAAAAAATAATTGAACTACAAAATTTCAATCGAAACGATTCTGAACAAAATTTAACTCATGTTTTAGCAAAATATTAGAAAATATTCAAATTTCTGTCTCTTTTAGTATTGGCTAATGGCCTATAAACTATTAAAACTTAAATAGTAGCGTACAATGTGAGTACAATACAAGTGTCTAATTAAACTTTTAAGTTAAGAATAATTATCAAAGTAAATTGTGGAGTGCGGTTGAGATGCGTGCAAAAATAACACCCTTTCTTTAAAATAAATGATCCAAAACTGGTTATAGACTATTCAAAATTTCCTGCACATTATTATTAATTTAACATATTAATAAAATATTTACATAACTATTTATGTTTCAAAAGTTGATAAAGCTCTAGAATATATTCTAAAAAAAATTATTTTAATACATGCTGACTGTAGTATATATTGGTTGACTACCACCCAGTCAATAAATTGGGATGATATTAGATATAATGTCGAGTAAAAATTAAGTTAATGCTTAAAATTTTTAAATGAATGGCAAGCAATATGTATATTTAAAGGTATTACACCTGTCGCCTGGGTCCGTGGAATCCAAAAAAAAAACAGACAGAGTGACACAATGGACATCTACAGCTAGCCATTCACAATAAAATTTTTGCTAATAATATTATATCATGCACAAAGCCATCGTTAATGATTTATTAAAAATTAATAACTAATCAATTTTTTTACAGATGAGTTCGATTCTTTGATTTTACAATATTTATTGATTCCTTTGGCGGAATACAACAAGAAAGGCTCCGACAAAAATCAAGTATTCAAAGTCTCTAATCAACTAGTTTAAACTTTAAATGTAATATATTTACAATTGTTTGCTCAAATGGAATTTGTGTCAAACTATTATTATAGTTACGAATTAGCTAAAATTGTATGTATTGTTAAACATAAAAATCCTATCACTTATTCGTCAAAGCCCTATAAACTCCAAATTTTCAAATAGTCTTCTTATAACAGAGCGATTTATTAAGCATATGACACTCATTTTCTTATAAAATAATCGCGATTTTGTATTTTTTTTCTTTGGAGAAAATTAATGATCTTTAATAAAACACCACGTGACTAAAGGTAACTAAAATTTAAAAATTTAGATCGATAGACGGAATACGGTTGAAACTAAACTTTGTTATCTTTGAAAGGTAATGCTTAAACCCGGTTTTCGACCAAGTGAAATTTGCAGCAAATTATTTGTTATTTGAAAAAATATTTGAAGCATTTGAAAAGCTTAAGTTCTTAACTTTACACATAAAGGATGGTGTTTTTTTTTTATGGAAAATGTGTTCAAAATTTGGTGAAATGTTAACTATAAAAGGATAGCATTAAAAATTCCAAGACATATTTTTAGATAACGGCTGAGTCATTGATGTTATAAGCAATCACTGTGTATGTATAAATTGTTTTCAGGGAAAAAGACTCACGCCTTATGAAGTAAGATTTTTCCTGGAGCAGTTCAGTCTACTCACCCAAATTAATAGCCAACCGGGATATCTTACTCTTAAACAGCTATCAAAAGCAGAATATTTGAAAACAATGAATGATGCATTCAACGCAAAATTAGAACAACTTATAGCCGAAAAAGGCGGTAATGCACATAAGCCGAGGAGGCGGTTCCCTTGATATAGACAATTTTTAATTTTTAATTAAATTTTAGACGAACATGTAATGAACGCGGTGGATTTCTTATTGGTCATATTGGAAATCAAACCAAAAGTAAGTTCAATACCAAGGTGAAAATATAATCTTTAGATTTACTAATTAGAAAGCTTCTAAAAAAAAAATAATTTAGAATATGAATTTTCAAAAAAAAAAAAAATACAAATAATTAAATAGAAGATACTATTATCATTATTTCTTTTGAAATTAGTTTAAATATATTAAACGAACTTGGTCTAGACAAAAATAACTAATGCGATATAAATTTAATTAATAATCAAAACTAAAAAATAATAAACCGTTTAAAATTATAAAAATGATACGATTATTTTTTTTTAATTGGTATTGACTACAATGTAATAGCATTGATTTTTAAAACTATTATTTACCATTTTTCTTTTTTCCTTGATTTTAACACATATCCGTTTTGTTTTTTTATTTTTCATTAAAGCCATCACTACACCAGACCGTTTATTAAGGAGTCAAATATAGGCATTTTTTTTCGCAAAATCAGAATTAATATGTGTATTAATACAATAGATATGATATGATTCTTATTGTTTATTTCTATAATTTAAAAAAAAAAATTACAATTTTTTCGCATTTAACCTTTTTTCGTAGTTCATATATTACACTTGAAAATTTTAAATAAAAACAAAACAATCTGTGTTATACTTTAGTATGACTCGTCCAGTTCATCATTTTGACAGCTGGCGATCGTTATGCTTTAAAAGTTGTAGGGGTCAACAAAGTAGTATAGAGGTGCTGCCAACATATTTCTTGAAGAGGTTGTATCAACTATTGAGAAATACAGTTGTCATAATAAAATGTTATTGATATTTGATTAACTCGTAACAATGACCAATGTTAGTTAGTATCACTAAACAGTGGACCGTGAATTCATATTTCCCTAATACTGGTAACACTGTCGTTTAACCATACGTTTCGAACCCCTGATCTATTCAGACGTGTGACGTTACAAAGTGTAAAGATGAACTGGACGAGTTATATCTATAAAAGTAAATCACAATTTGATATATTTGCTGAGAACTTTGACTGGTTAACAACCATTTTTGGATAATTACTTTTTAAGTTATGAAAGGTTAAAATTGTCAGCAATTTAATCTTAACCAGATGACCGTCTTGAACAAACAGAAATAAAATATAACAAAACAAATTTTTTTTTAAAAAGTAAAACAAATAAGAGAAATAAAAATTGTGGTCTTTATAGTGCAATTTATACATTTAATTTTTTTTTAAACACATCCTTGCATAACGCTTGTAATAATACATATACATTGTAGGGCCGTGGTCTGACCCTAAAGCAAGTAAAAGATTTTGGCAGCTTGTACGTAGAAGACCAGAGTGGAACCGGAAGCATCGATTTTCTTAAATGTAAAGAAGTGTTCAAAGAGCTTGGTATATCTACCACGGAAGACAAATTGGAACAGATATTCGAATCCGACGGTAAGAATGAACAATTATTTTTATATTGTATTAGGCATGACAAGTAACTGAAAATCTACTAATTATTAAAACTCGCACAGGACCCGCTGGAAGAATTTTGATGAATTTAATTGTCGCTGCGGCAGAACGCAATATGGCGGTTAAGGACACTGTAATATTGTTTAAACTTTTTTTTTTTATAAATTTCAAAGCTATTTGCTGTTGTGTTTGTTATACAATCTCGCCTACTAGTTAATAGTTACTATACATTTTTGCATTAACAATTGTTTAGGAATTGAGAGTATTCACTCTATGCGAGATCTTTGCTATCATATCTGACTTTATTGAGCTCGACGTTGACGAAGACGGTGTACTTTCCCCTGATGAGTACGCCGAATTCGTGGAAGAGTCATACAATGACTTGAGGACAATCTCAAGACCTATCGATGAACCGAAACGTATTTTAAAGAAATTCGAAGGTGAAGTTAATTTACAAAGTGTTAAAATGTTTTAACTAATGACGTTTGTTGGCCATCTTCTGATAAAAAAAATGATTTTTTTAGATAACAATAAAATGATGAACATTGCGGATTACATGAGAATTCTGTATTTCACTACACTACATGACGGAATATGTCCTTTTGCCAATAAATTTTAGCACCGTTGAAGATAACTAACAAGCTTTGACAATATTGATGATACATGTTTAGTAACCATAATGATAATAATAATATTTTAAACATTTTTATGTATTTATCAATTGAAATATTACACTCCTCGGTGTCTAATATAAAAAACATTATTATCTTATTTCTATTAAAAATTACAAAAAAAAACTAAATGTTTACTGTAATACTGTAATTGTACTGGAATGTTATTGTTTTTATTTAATTAAAAACTTTATTATATTTTATTACAATACATTTTTTACCGTAAATATTTTGAATCATGGGCTAGATAAATCCGAAGTGTTCCGGATTTTCGGATTTCAACAAATCTGAAGTCCAAAAGCAGTTTATCTTTTAGGTGTTTAGTTTTATTTTTATATATTTATCAAAAAAAATGTTCTTAGGTACACAGCTTTATATTGTAAAACTTTTTAACACTTATATGATTTTAAAATAGCTAAAATACCGTTTTTTTTTGTGAAAATTCGGATTTTCGGATTCCCATCACTACTCTCGACTTCCCACAACATTGAATGGTTTTAATTTAATTTAATTATTTTCTTTATCTTCATATATACTGCATCATAGTGGTGTTATCGGGTTTTTTTTAAATGGTATTTAGTTTCTACGGTATAGCCTTGGTATGATAGGGAAGTTTTCTCAAAAATAGCTCGGTAGCCAACGTGTTAATGTATTAATAAAAAATAAACTTAGTCATTATTAAAAATTAAACATTGTATACTAATAAAAATAGTCATGAGTAAAAGTGTATCTATTGAGTGCGAATAAAACTAGTCATAATTAAAAAATTAAAAAATTAAAAATTTACAAACATACGAATAAAGATTTTAACGGAAAATTGTGTTTGCACCTTCACTTTCTAATAGAAATAAACATAAAATAAGAAGAGGGAAAGAGACTTATACGGGGTGTAATGTATGTTTTTTATTGACGGTTTATTGGGTGCAGTTTTCTAGCTTTAACTTCCTATTACGGATATATTATTATTATTGTTTATTCACTTACCTGGACGTAGTCTTCTATTGAAGTTATGTGGGCTTACGATGATATGATTTACCATTAATCAATAAAGTTACATGTATTTGTGCATTGACTACATTAATAATACAAACTGGTCTATAAAGTAATCAGGTATGCATGTACGACTGTGTTTGCTATAAGGGCAGCATGGGCAAGAATCCGCATACACAGATTGGCAGGCACCAATTACATTATTAATTAAAAAGGAGAAAGGTTTGTTTTTTAAGTATAAAAATAAGCTGCCATTTGTATAGTTCAATCTCGATCATCAACAGACACAAACGATCCTTTCGTGTGGTGAACTCGCTGTATGAATTGAATTTAGGTTATTAAGAGAAGAGAGTAAGATATGAACCTGCAGCAGTCGAGACTGCCGTGCATGTCATATATTTTGTATATTAATAATATATTTATATTATTTATGTTAAGACAGTATATTTTAAAGTATAAGAAAGAACTATTAGGAAAAATTATTTTATATCTGGTAATGGTAAATATAACATTAATAGTTATGATGTTAGTCGTAATATTAATAGTAGTAATCTATACAATCCACAAGGGTATATGAATCCTAATGGTAATAATGATAATAGCCAAAGACCACCCCCGTTAGTAGACAATATTAAGTAGCTGCGTTATGAATAACAAAAATGGTCTAAGTAATAACCCAGTAATTAGAGGTATTTTAAATAATGTTAGTTATAAGTTCACTATTGACTCAGGAGCAAGTGTAAGCGTTATTAAGAAGACTTCGTCGGTCAGTTATGCCTTTTTATAACCTTCTCTGAGGTCCCATCTTGATTAATTACGATATTTTTTGATTGGTTAATAGAGAGGTCTGCTTTAATTGAGCGCACGTTATCGGCTATGTTTATATCTAGAATGGAATGTGTATGTATGATGTCTTTGACAAGAAGATTCAGTATACGATTGTGCATTGTTTTAATAAACATAATAGTTAGGGATAATACAATTATAATGTGTTTAATAACTAATTATTATTTTTTAAACATTTATACATGTGGGTAATTCTCTGAAACCAAGGAATTTTAAGTCCGCAAACTTTTACTAGACTTGTGTTTTGATTTTTAGGAAACTTGTTTACTCTTTACGTAAAATAGTTCCGGAACAACGTTTTTTTAACAAAATTAAGGTACTTAAACTATCTTCTTCTAATTAAAAAAAAAATACCAAATGATTCAATTTTCATTCCCCTCACAATGTCCCACACCCCGGTTTCGCATTTTAAACATATCCTAAATGTTTGACTTCAATTTTCAAAAATCAAAACCTGAAATTAATCAGTTGAGCAAGTACTCTAGTTTTCAGAATCAATTATGGTGGTTTTGAATACATCAATAATTTCCTCATTTTATCCTATAAACTACGTGTCCTTACTTTTTAGTTGAGGACCTCATATTTTTCTTAAAGTGGCACCAATTCAAAGCTTTTACTTAGAATTGCGTTTTTGAGAGATAGCCACATTGCTTGAATGTCAATATAAAAGTAGCATTGACCGAATTTGGTTTATCTCATATCTTGATGATTATTAAGCAATGTGATAGTGAGAAAACGAAGTCTGGCAAATTCGTCATTCAGGCCCTCGCAAAGCTGTATTAAAAACTGGAAGTGTCTTTTCTTTTATTGTTTTTTTGATAATAAGTGCTTTTATAGTCTAGAAGTGTTTCAAAAATATGGCTTTTCTCCAACCTTATTTCAACCAGTAGTTGAAGTGTAGCAGGGGCGTCATTTGGAGTAAATTCATGGGGTAGCAAGCACCTTGAATATTATTTTTAATTTAGTTGTAGTCTAAAGAAGGGAGTGAGCAGTCAGTATATCGGTGAGTCCTGGGTAATTGTTCATAAAAATTAAGTAAAAATATACCATAAATCTCATAATTTAGTTTTTTAGTTTAAACATTTATTTACATTAATTTATCACACAAATATACAATTTCTGATTTCATATATTGTTGCAAGTTAAAATTTATTTTTCAATTTAGTGTAGAATCATGCGTCGTCCATTCTCTGTGGCATCAAATTCTTTTATAACATTGTCCTTGTTGACTTCTTGATCTCGATGCACATAGAGTATTGCTAAATCATTTAAACGATCTTGCCAAGTAGAACATCTAAGATAAATTTTTATACGTTTTAATATGGAAAAACTTCTTTCGCACGTTGCTGTATTTGTCGGTAATGTTAAAAATAATTTTAAAATTTGGGAATACAGTGGGAATCCGACCTGTATATTGTTGGATAAAATATATGATATCCGACTGTCGAGTAGACTTTCTTTCACATTTTGTGTTTTAAACATCCGATTAAATATATTAACTTCACTCTGTAGTTCAGAAATATTAATATCATACGTGTTACATACTAACTTATATGAAGCCACATCAGGTAAATCACTAGTTAATATACCATTCATAGCATTTAAAAGAGCTAAATTGTTTTCTTTAAATCTTTCTTCTATATCGGCAACAACTATATCCAAAACTACATAATAAACATTAATTAAATAATGATCTTTTATGTTTAATGCATTTTGTTGGGACTTTTCTCCACCTAATTTCATTGAAATTTTTCTCTCTCTAGGTAATTTTGCTTCTTCTAAATCATATTTATCAACAATAACTTGGGTTTCTATCCATATACTATTGAACTTATCATTACATCGACTGTCTTTAAACGTATTAATTGTTTGTTGTGCCATCAAATGTACCGATGAATAATTAATTGATGAAGATTGAAGGTATTTTGATAAAATATTAGTTTGATTCAACACAAATTTTTGTAAATTTAAGCAAAAAATAAAATCAAAGGTTTCGATTAATTTAAGTAATGAACTAGCATCAAGTCCTGCAAAAGTGTCATTTTCTCTAATTTCATGATGTGAATGCAATAACGCTGATCAGTTTTCAAGTACTGCTTTAATAGCTTCTATTCGGCAATTCCACCGAGTATCAGATAAAGATTTTAAAGTTTTTGGTCCTTTGCCATCAGAAAACGTTTTTGTCATAGATTCAAAAACAGAATATCTTTTTGAAGAGGCACCAATAAAATTATGTAATGAATTCAAAACGCCAAACATATTTCTTATTTGTTTAACTTGTTTAGTTAAATCAATTAAGCATAAATTTAATATATGTATTGGTTCAAAACTTTTCGTAACATACTTAATACAAATAGACACTTGTTCATGCCTACTTATGTCCTGTGTCTCATCGACCAGTATGCTGTATATACCTGCTTTTTGTATATTAGATATTATGCTCAATTTGACATTGTTTGCCATTAACGACAAAAAAGTGTTTTGAAACTCTGGGTGGATATAACGATACTTTTTTCTTTTTTAATAAAATATTGTTTAATTATATCATTATCTTTTGCTCTCAGGTGTAATAACTCTAAAAAATTCACTTTGTTATTTAACAAAGACTCGTCTTGTTCATTATGTCCCCGAAAAACAATTCCTTGTCTAGCACAAAATAGCAAAGTATCTAAAATATCATTCAAATAGCTAATATTTTTCATGACTATCATTTTATGATGGTTATCAATTTTAGTCACAATATTGCCCTCAACCAATGAATGTTTAAAACCTGCCAATTTAACCATTGCTTCTTTGTGAGGTGTACTACGTTCATGTTTTGGAAGACATATTAAATCCATTTATAATAAAAGACTCCTCATGGTGACCAGATAAAGCAAAGGCTCTACAGTAAAAACAAAACACTGCATCTTTTTCTGGGCTGTATTCTAGCCATTGATACAATTTGTACCATTGAGGAGAAAATTTCTGGCCATTGGCGCTGTACTGCAAAATAAACATTTTAATTGTAACATCATTTGTGTTGTATTATAGACAAGAACTATAATATGTTTATACTATTATAACTGACATATATTATAAATATATTCTAGATACCTACCATCCGTACGAAAAAGCTGTATCTAATTAATTTATCTAAGCTACATACAATATGGTAGTAGGTAATATGGGTACCTTTATTCATTATGTAATGGTAAATAATTGGGTTTCTTTAATTGAGGACCCATGTTGCTCTTTTTATGTTACGAAAATATTTACAAGTCTTTAGAACGCAAATTATAGGGCCTATTTGGGAACACAACTATAATTTGTTTACAGTATGCTTTATAACATAAGCCAATGTCTGATAGAGATAATGGGTACATTTGTTTTTTCGACATAATAGATAAATATAAAAACATATTTGACCAGTTCAATTATTTTGGATTTTTTTTCTGGGACATGATAATTATTTTTTTTTTCCAATTTAATGTATAAATACAAATTTTACATTTTAGCTAAAGAAGTCTGTCTAATGCTCAACTTTATTTTCCTCGTCATAGTTTGATGAATTGATTATAATCGATAGACAATACGACCAAGCTATTTGTCTAATCGTAGCTGACAACAAGTTATCGATTATAGTAATTTTCTGTGTTACATGTTCTGTACTATAAGATCCTACTATAAGTACCTATAGGATATTTGCTACACAAATACGATCCGTGTTTTTTTTTTTGTATTATTGTACAGTTTTTTTAGCACTCATGTTTACAAGATGTGTTTTTATTATTTACCCGTGTCGATAACAGACAACAAGGGGATAGGAAAAATATTTTTCTATTTTACTGCCGCGCCGGCACATTGGCAAGTGACTGTATAAAGTATAGATTTATTGGTGTCAGGTAT